ACAAATTGTTACTCATTGCGCCTATTGATTATATAACGTTATAGCTTACAAGCTATTGTTACAAGCTATTGTTACAAGTTATTGATGATAGGAGTGAGAACATTAAAAAGCTATAAACTATCCGTGAAACTCAAAGTGAGACAAAATAAAAAGTATGGCCTAAATATTTTTTGTACTTTTACATTCGTGTCTAGTTAGAAAGAAATCGGAGTGTAAACCTACCCAAAGGTTTAATTTGTGCCAAATTAGAAAGAAATCGGAGCGTACCTTTTAGATAGGTTTATTTGTTAGTAAAAATCAAGTTGGAAAGACATGATATTATTTTTTATCTACAATGCTAAATATGAAGTAGATTATTATGCAAAATTCTGCGTGTGCCAATCAATAACATTTTTTACACGACTGGCAACTTTATTTAACAACCAATACTTTACTAATCATCGCACAGAAAAAATAGTTTACAATTTCTCGATTTTATTTTTAACAAAGAATTTTGTTGTGCAATTGGGGAGCGATAAAGAGAAAATAATTTGTAAAACAATTTATATGAAATGCACATATTAATTAATACTCTTACCAGTTTGTTGCAAATTGAATATTACCCAACCATTGGGGATATTGCTAATGTGCTTATGCTTATCCGATGGTTTTAACCAAAAATTAGGCGAGGTTTCGTCGAAATTGAGATTCGACTCGGTTGTATAAGTTATTGGTAACCACCAGAAATTTTCCGATTCTTGCATGTACAAATTCTGTTGCGTAATAACTATTCTTTGAAATATAGAATAATGTTTAACATCTAATACGGGATAATTGGAAGTTGAAAGCCAATTATCCATCACTTTTTCCAAATCCCAATCGTCAGGGACTTCTATTTCGCACAACATAGCTTTTTCCAAAGCTTTCCACAAATTATCCGGAGTGACTGACAAAAATTGACTAAAATTGTAATATTTGGCATAGTTAATAGTAAATATCGCAATATAGCTTAGATCGAGAAATATAAATTTGTCATATAATTCGTCCGCGTGCGTCCGTGTGATAATATATATGATTTAATTAATTTAAGAGTGTATATATATAAAAATGCATTACTTACTTTGCCTTCAAGTATATTCTGATCCCTTTCCGAAAAGTTTCGTCGGGAATAGCATGGTACATCATGCGTACTAAAGCAGTTGCTACGATCATTTATAAAAAGAAATTATAAAAAGGGGAAATTAATTACTTTTAAAATAAAATTTAAATTGTATATTGTAATTTTTATGAATATCTGTTGTTTCAACAGAAAAAAATTTGGAAGTCGTTTTAATTCTTAAGAATATGTCATTGTTTATGAAATAAATATTCAATCATGATATAAACAATAATAAGAAAAATTAGATGAATTAATTGTAAAAGCCAATAATGTTGATTTTTATTATATATATTATATATATATATATATATATATATATATATATATATATATTATATAAACAAATATAAATATATTAAGCAAAGTCAATTTGGAAATATGCATGTCTCGTTCATCATCTTTAGTTAGACTTGCATCATCTTTAGTTAGCATCAAATATAAACAAACACTTATAGGTCATGTATATGTAATACATATATATATTTGATATCAGTTAAGGATAGTCCAAAATAGGACCAGAACGTGCGAGTTTTCATAGCGACTTTGTTTATATAATAAGAAAATTGATATAATATTTAGTTCTTAAATCAACATTATTAGAATCTCACCTGCTGGATTTTCCTTATCTCATTATTTATATTGTAATGAAATATATTTAGGCGTTTTCTTCTTTGGAAAATAATAATATTCTTTTAAATTTTAATATACAATTAATTGGGGGCAAGTGAATATGTATTTGGAGAGTTAATCTACCCGTATGCCTTCTTACTTTTTATTTACATTCCACATTTGTACGATTCCGTCCAACTCTCGTTCAACATTCAAACACTTGATTATTTTGCTAAGTCTCACCTTTCTTTTGCATAACACCAGAAAATAAGATGTCAATTTCCTTGGGGGTTACGATATCGTGCATAACTGGATTTACATGAAATACAATATCTTCAGACAAAAGTTGTTGTTGATTCTCTACCACGAAGCGATCAATTACCCGCAATTGTTCGAAAAGCTGCGGACAAATGTACGTATATGATCAAGCGGTTATTATAAGCGTTCATCATGTAAAAGATGATTGGAACGGATAACATCTCTCTAAATGCTGTCAAAAACATCTTGTAATTCTTTGTCATAAGAGAACATTTTTCGAACAGCTTCGTAAGAGCACGTAATATATCTTTAAGGTGATGAAATCGACGTGATCGTTCGAAATCTTGAGATCTTGAACGAGGTTTTAAAATCGTCACGATATCGATTTGCGTCGGACACGTGAAAAGTACGTATGAAACATGAGAGAAACCTTGTTGGTGATGTATAAGCCGAAGAACGTCACGATTCCATCATTCATCCACAAGTAATTCCACTGAGCCGGATTAACATCGTTAAACCAATGATACATCAGAGTTTGTATTAAGTGTTGAGCTATGAGACTTTGTTTCTCTAATTCAGTCCGGCCCTGTATCAGGTCTGATTCTCTAAAAATGATCGGGACGATGTTTGAGCGATTATTTTGAAAAATCGGGGACAGCAATATTTATATCTCCGAATTTTAACCTTCCCTAATCACACTTCTTAATCGTAACAAGTTGGTCACATGAGGTGTGGCACTTGTCATTTTTGTGTTACCATTTTAATCAAATCGCATTTTTAAATTATTTAGTGTTGACGCATTCTTGAAGGTCATAAAAACCTGCTCCAACAGTTAAAAAAAAAACAAAAAAAATCATATACTTAGATTTAGTGTTTGAAATTCCGTTACTTCCGAAGAGAATTTGAAATTGAAAATTGCTTGGCGTGCTGTACGCCTCAGATGACTAGGGAGGATTAAGATTCTGAATACTAAGGATATTTCTGACGCCTCTTATTAATTGATGTTTCTTCTTAATCTGTGTACATTACTTGTAGATGTAGATTCCGTAATTTGATTTGGTCCGAAGGAAGGAAGGTGGTATCGCAATTAGATCCATTTTTGAAATCTTTTTAGTAAAATTCATGGCAGTCAATATGTAATTCGAACACTGTACGGCAACTTCATGCGCTGATATTAATTGGTCAATTATTTCCCGTCTACCCCACATGTTGATAGACCCATCTCCGCTGGTAATGACGGCGAAATTGTTGAAAATCACAACTCCCACGAGATAAGTAGGCATCAAAGGGGTGGTGTTAAAGTGAGTCCATATCATATGATCTTCTACTATCTGCTCTTGTATCGGCATATTCGACAAAACCGTATAGTAAAATGGATGTTTAACTGAGATGTCAAAAGTTGCTTTTAAAGTCGGCTCGTCCCAGCACGGAAACACTGTCCGAGCAGCCCAAGGAAAATTCATTGCAAACATCTCCCCACTATATTTGAACGACATAAGACAAAGATAAATTTCCAGTTGTTTTATACTATATATATAGTATATTATCCAGATAGCACAAAATCTTCAGAGAATATTCTAGGACATTCTTAGGATGTATGAATTTCCTTAGAACATCTTTAGAACGTCTTTTGAAGATTTGTGCTGTATGGATAGTTATACTGTCCCCGCATCTCGGAAGATGAAGGACCAACGTTTATTTCTTCAATTATTTCCTTGTTGTTTTTTATTTATTGTTATCCTTACGATATAACCCTATTTATCACTGAATCTATATTTTTCATTGATCTTTTTATTAATCTTTTTATTCATTTCGCTCAAATTTATAGGACATAAATATTTACTTACTTTTGTTGTTCCTGTTTGTTGAAGTATGTAATTTTTGAGAAGCCTGGCACGCTGTCAGTAATTAGCGCACTTCTGAATTTTATGTCCAAAGTATAATTCCCGAGAGGTAGATCGTCCTCAAAATCGATCGTTAGGATCTGTGTTGCAGGGCAATAAATATAGCGGTTCGATATGAAAACTTGATACGTAATATTCGAAGGATAAGTCAATCTTGATGAGCCTATAATATGTTCGTCCAATTCTGATTGATTGCTATAGTGTAAGCTTATCCTGTCCGTTTTCTCATAAATTTCGATCAAATAATTGGCTTCGCCCTCAAAAAATTCGTCAGGGTCGGTCTCGGAGAACATAGATATTAATTTGATGTTATAATGTCGGCACACAATCCCTTTCACTGGTAAGCGGTATTCCGATCGATCGAGTGGACAATCTTTCTTCATGAAAACTAACGCTGTTGCGATCTTGAAGAGCAGACCGCTAATAAATAAGAATCTTAGGCACTCCATGCCGGGTTTTTATTTCCGAGATCTGTGGAAATACGTTTATTCATTGAGGAAAAGAGAATCCAGACAACATAATATCTAAAATCGGGACATAAGACATCTTAGAGATTATCTTTAAGATGTACGTATAAATGTCTTTGAGGCGTCTTAAAGACGTCTTATGTCCCAATTTTAGACATTATGTTGTCTGGGAAAAAAGTAGAAACAAGATACTACGCGGGATCACAATTCAAAATCGTTTTCCCGCAATTCGATAAAAAAAGATTGAAAATCTCGCAGTTTCCGTAATAGTTTTCGATTATTATGGTCGATAATACGTAAAGTAATACGTAAAGTCATATCAAAAAAATGTACGTAAAGTCATATCAAAAATTCTACAGTGGTGTATCTCGACATTTGTTATTATGATGTTACAATTATAGTAATTTGAAATTCCGAAATGGAAATGCTTTTTAACGAAAAAACTCGTTTGCGTTTTTTGGTCATATCTAAATTTCAATTTCTCCCTTTTCTCTTTAGACTGAAGGGAGATATCAGTTTGTGTGACTTGTCCCGATCACTCACCTCGTATATCAGACTTTCGTGCCAGCTAAAACAATACTTCGCGACAATCAACGATAATTTGTAATACCAGAAATATATCGCAGTATTCGGGAGATTGTCGTCTTCTCTGTTACTTTAAAAAGTCACAGGATACTAACAATAATATCAATATCTGGCGCTCTTATTAGTTTGACTATTTTGTTATTATGTTTGATAAACACATAACACGTCTCTTGGAACGCTTAGAACGTGTATTGTAACAAAATAAAAACAGAAAAATAATAAGTAATATATCAGTATCTGTTATTTTCATTATTAAATATGATTAATAACAGATAATATAATGAAAAAATTTAACTAATAAATTTAATTAATAATTCTATTTGAAATGTATAAATTAAATGTATAAATGTATACATTAAAAATTAACTGTAAATTACTTTTAAAGAACCTGTTAGTATAAATTAAAGGCGCGAGAACTGAAACACACAGTCTATAATAATTATATGATAATAATGTACAATCAAGAATTATATTAAGGAATGAATTAATTAGAAGGAATTAATTGGATTAAAGAAAGTGAGAGGAATGAAAAATCGGTAAGAGCAAAGTAGTGCCATTTATCATTGTACTAACTATAGACGCTAAGGAATTAGAACAAAAGCACTATTTTCGACTACGTTATTTTACAAAGACAGTTGCTACATTTCGACATTTCGACACAAGGTCTTCTTCGCCGTCACAACTTTCGTAGCGTGTGGCAATAGGAATAGAAGGAGCATTGAATAGTGTCGCCACATAATTTCGGTCGTTGGTTACACCGCGGACGTCCAGGCGAAACAAATTGCTCCGTCGACGTTGCGTAACGGCGGAATCTGTCGAGCAGACGAAAAAGTGGAAAATTGGCAATCGCCAATTTGACAAAATGTCTCGAAAGCGGCGTGTTTCTCGTGCAACCAGCCCGCGAGAAATCCGTCATTTCCGAGTCACCCTTCCCTGGTCATGCGTGGCATATCTAGGATCTCTGCATTCGCCGTGAAACAAAAATAAAAATAAGATTACATATTCACCGATGGTTTCCACTGACGATACGTCGAAGCAGATTTCCGCGATGCAGAAAGACCGTACGCGAGGAGCGTGGCGAGCGCGAAAGTGGAGAAAATGAAAGAAGAAGCGCTCGACCCTTGATCTTCCGCGAAAATGGGAATTAATTGGGCGTTAATTATAGGGGAGAAAGCTACGGGATCGCGCACAAGGTCTCTGAGGAAATACGAGGACGCGTCGGGACAGGACGAGACACACTACGACGAAAATGCGAAGCGAGATCGATAGAACTCGTCGGCGTGATTCTGCCGCGGAGTGCGCCGAATTTCGTAAGCAAATGATGAAAACAACAACGATAGGAAATCTTAATTAATACGCTGGCGCGACGATCGCTCGCAACTCGCTCGTGACACTTTTATTTTCGCCAGCACGCGCCGCTGCTACCTGACACGTTTGGTCACACCTCGTGACTGCAGGGACGCAGCTGTAAAAATTGATTAACACGCCGCTATCTGATTTTGGTCGCGATTAATCCCTCCGCGCATTCCTCTCTCCAAGTCCTGAAGAACGACAGGACGAATCAACCAAGTGCGGTTACTCGTTTCTGGCTTCTGATCAAGCGCGTCGACGACAAATCTGCGAACGAATGGAAGCGTGAGGAGCTTCACCACGACAGGTGGAGGCGACTTTTTCTTTTCACTGCAAGGGAGCTCCGTGTTTGTCCCTGGAGGGTGGCTATGCGCCAGCATCCCATGCATGACCGCCATATAATAGGTGAAACTTGACAAATTAGAGAGCCACTTTCGCGTCATCTCCGCAGCGGACAGTCGTCGAATTTGCCGCGACTCACAACGTCGGAACTGATACGCATAATTCGATAACTCGGCATCCGAGGCACTTTGAGCTGCGTTGGGAAGTGCGTTAAGTATTCACGGTCTCATTTGGACGTCCTCATCCGTCGCGACTATGACGCTCATCATCCTGATCCTCTCCGTCGTCGTGGCTGTTTGTTGTGCCTTGACGGAGAAAACTGAATTTCAACCTACAACTGAACTCTCGAAGAAACACTCGGCGGAAGATCGACTTCTCGCGAACGTCGTTCGCGCCGAGAACTCGTCGCAGCTGATCCCCGACAAGAGCGACGAGGAAGAGCTGAAGACGACAGACAAGAAGCCGAGAACAGTCATACATCGTGATTCGAGCCTCGACTCCAGAGATAAGTCGATACTCTCGATTTGGTCACAGTTCCTTTCTGCAAGTCTCCGTGTTCCAAGTCAAAACGCGACAGATAACACCGTGAAATAATTTGCTGCAGCAGCAAATTAATTTGCTACATATGGACAGTTCAATAATTCGCTGTGTTAACTACTTTTTCTTTGCTGCAAGAACCTATTTTCTTGCTATGATAATAAGAAAATCTGTTCCTACAACAAAAAAAAATGGTTAACGTAGCAAATTTGCTACAAATGGACAACTAAACATAATTTACTGCTTTAGCTACTTTTTTTCTTGCAGAAGCAGATTTTCTTGTTATCATAGCAAAGAAATTGGCTCCTGCAGAAAAGAAAAAGTGGCTAATACAGCAAATTATGTTTAGTTGTCCATATGTAGCAGATCTTTTTTTCCGTGCGATTTACGCAAAGTCTTTTTCTCTAATTATTTTATTGTACAATTATATCCAAGCAGAACAAATTTCTGAATCCAAAAGACGTCCTATTTTATATATACACTGAGAAAAAAATTTACTAAATTTAAAAAAACACTTATTTGGGTAGTACTGTGAAGATATTTGTTTAAATTAAGTAATTATTTTCTAAAATTAAAGAAACAAGTTTATATTTAAAACTTTTTTATTTAATTTTAGAAAATAATTACTTAATTTAAACAAATATTTTCACAGTATTATCCAAACAAATATTTTTTGAAATTTAGTAAATTTTTTCCTCAGTGTATATATTTTGTTCAGACGACTTTGAAATCGTTTAAAAGCTTGTGCTGTCCGGATAGTCATACGAAACTTTTCCTCGGTGTAAATCTGTATAATCGACGGAGGTCGCTGGACAATTCGGATTACGGGATATTTTCGCTTGCAAGTTCTAGCTGTTGCGGCTCCAGGCACAGTTCCAGCGGGTTCGCGCGACCCGACCACAATTACAACAAGATCCCCGTTGAAACCGGACGGTACCCTTCTCAGTACGGCGAGCGGCACCCTATCGACAGGTAGTAACACAACTCGTCGACTCTGTCTTTCCTGTGCCTGTAGAAATTTCAGAACGTAAGACGTCTTAATTTAAGGAGTCATTTAATTTTAGGTTCGGATGGCAAACTCAATCTCGACCTTCGAGTTCCACCGCGAGCGGCGGCGGTAGACCGTCAGGAGGCGGCGGAAGTTACAGCGGAAACGGAGTTTACGCGGGAAGCCAGTCGGGTGATAGGTAAACCTCCAAATTCTTCCCACAGTACAAGGAATTAATATTCTTCATGTCAATTCGCGAGAAATTATTCAGATAACACAAACTGCTGAAAAAACCCAGACAGCACAATGTCCAAAACTGGGACATAAGATGTCTTTGAGACATCTTTAAGACAATTTAAAGACGTCTTATGTCCAGACGTCTTAAAGTCGACTTAAGGGGACTGGAGGCTCAGATTGCCTGAAAATCGTGCTTGTTCTTTCACAATTTTTTGTGATAAACTGAATGAATATGCGAAAGTGTTATTTTGACGTGTATTTATACAACATATAAAGAGAAGAAAAATATAATTTTGATGATCATATGCTCAATATAAGTGTATGGTACATGCAGTTAAAATATATTTCGTTTTTCGTTTTAAGGTCCTCATTTTATAGTAATATCTTGACTCTCGGTGGTCCAATTAAGCTGAACTTTAGATAGAAAATTTCCATAAGCTTGTCGTTATCATATGAACCATTATAATAGAAATTGGATAAAAGTTAACAAAACTGCAAATATCTTAATGGAATATTATTAAATTTTCAGTTCTTTTATAGTAAAAAAATTAATATTTCAAAATTAAATATTTTCACGAGTTTGTCAGTGGTACACGTCAAAATAACACTTTCGCATATTCATTCAGTTTGTCATAAAAAATTGTGAAAGAACAAGCACGATTTTCAGGCAATCTGACCTCCAGTCCCCTTAAAGACGTCTTAAAGACGTCTTATGTCCCAGTTTTTGACATGTGTCTAGGAAGTCTTAAGGCTCCTGGACACTCGCCGCGGAACTCTTGATTAATGACGTCTCAGAAGCGGCAAAATGCATGTTCAAAATTCTTGACTATCTATTGACTATCAAGAGAAAAGGATATTTTTCCGAACATTTTATGCTCAAACGATTTAAACTGTTCTTTTACATAAATATTCTTTTATTTGGAGCTAGCACGCAAGAATTTTTTGTACTGTCTTTCCTAAGCGCATAACGTTTCAATTTCATTGGTATATTTGTTACACGGAAAAATATCCAGTTTGTGAAATCGAATGGGAACCAGACGAAAGATTCGCTGACGGGAAAATATCTTTGAAAACATTCAACTGCGTTGAAACTCGGTTAAGATAACTGAAAGCAATTGGCTGGGCAAAAACCTCCTACGGGAATCTCTGTGTTCTCATGACCGAGTCTTTCTTCTGGTGGCCAAGTAATGGAAAATTCAGTTGCACTAACGGAGCTGTGTTCTCTGTGTATCCGTGACGGAAACGCAAGATATGGATCGCGACCTGCATACGGAAGTGAGAGCACTAACAGACCTGGCGCTTCGGGCTACGGCTCGGGGAACAGCGGTGGATTTGGCGTTAGTACCTGGGGTTTCAGCAGGCCGACCGGATACGGAGGTCCAGTCGGAGGCGGTGGCGGCGGTGGCTATGGGATTTCGGGCACGTTGGCCGACGGTGACGAATTCGGTCCTGGCGACCCGGTTTTCTCGGACGGAAACGCATCGCAACATCCCGGAAATGTCCAGGCACAAAAGGTACACACGCGTGCGCGCTCATTTGGAAATTAATTAATTTCTTTTTTTTGAGACATGTGCGACCACAGCCGGCAATGTTTCCTCACAGCATAAATATATCATGTTCTCGGACATGTGTTTCTGATTAAAAATCAATCATAATGACACCGCCACATATCCTAAAAAAACTTGTAATCCCCTGTATATCCTAATAGCAGAGTTTATTGGTATTACATTGGCCTGATTGGCATACATTAGGTCAATATAGCCAATATATAGTCAGTGTAATATTGGTTATAAAAAAATATGATTAAATTGCCAGTATTGCACAACATGATTGTGTCAATATTGATATATATTGGGCCAATATAATTACTCAATATGTATCAGTAACAAATAAATTGATATTCAGAATTCTATTCTAATATTCAGAATTCTATATTGGCTATAAGTGTTTACTTGATACTATTGGGCCAATATTGTCAATACCAATGGGTATATTGGAGCCCATTTTGTAGCTAATACTCAGAAAGCACAGAAATTTCAAAAAAAAAAAAAAAATTCAAAAACAATTCAGTTATATGTCACTAATTCTGAGTTCATTTTCAGAGGCAAAAAGAATTCTTCAAAGTTCAGTTCAGTGAAAAGAATTCTTTTTGCATCTAAAAATGAACTCAAAATTGGTAACATATGACTAAATTATTTTTGAATTCTTTGTGCTATCTGGATATTGCTTTAATGAATGATATTTAACCCTTCGTATACACACTTATTTTTTCAACCTTCGTATACACTAGGTGGTTGCCACCCATTGCAATTTTCAAACAGCTGTATCTTTTAAAATATTTATGCTAAAATTCTGAAAAAATTCATGGATTAATTTTAATGTTTATAGAAAGTATTTACATATTTTTAGTATTAAAATTTAAGAAAAAAAAGATTTAAAAAGAAGTGAGTTCTTGCAAAAAATTTGTAACTTTTATTATTAAAAAATTTGTAATTTTTATTATTTTTAAGTAAAAATTTAGCATTTTATTGTTGAAATGTTTATCTTTAAGGAAAAAATTATCTTGTAAGTCATCTCTGGAAAAAGTATATTTACAATTTTAAATATACATACATGTATATACATATATACATATGTATATTTACATTTGGAAAATTTGATAGTTGAGCATACCAATACAAAAATTGAGGATGTATGATAGCGCTGAATTTTAGTTATGGATGGTAACGACCCAGTATGTATACGAAGGGTTAAGACAAAATTCATTAAATGCGTAAAGGAAGAATGGTTTTAATTTCCTAGTAAACAAAAAATGATTTTTTGCTTACTGGGATGTTTATAAGGCCGTAGCTTTGAAAGCTCTAGCTGGCGTCGCATTGATCGGCGCAGCAGCGGCATTAGCTTCGAATCCGGTGCTCCTACCAATCGGCATCGTGGCGGGAAGAAAAAAGCGGTCGGAGAGCTTCTCGGAGGAGGTGCAGCCCGAAGTCCAAACGGATTACATCATACATATGTTGAGGGAAAATTTAGCTAAGGTTTACGTATACACATACTTCTGTCACATAATTGTTTGACGCAAAGAAGCTTCGCTAAAATATTGATTTCTCTCACAATCAGATACAAAAAGATGGCTCGAGCAATCGACTGATCGTCTCTCCGAGATGTGTCGCCAGATTGACCTGCGAGATTCAGAAGGACTATTTGTCTGACCTCGGCAAGGATTTCGAGATCGTAAACACGCAACGGAAACAATATCTTACCAATTTGTATGTAATTTCCTCGGCATTCAGTTCGTCATTATACAAGCTCTATTCCAATTAATCGTTTCATTAATCGCTCGAATTCCTTACAGGATACGAAACAACGTTCTCAATACCGCTTCTGTGAGCGTGAATGTAAAGAACCTGATCAAATTGGCCGTCGGCGTCGCGACAGAGGACAAAAACTGCGATGTGTTTTCCTGTAGTTACATAAGGAAAGGTTGAATGCTAAAATTATTTTTAAGCATCTCGTATTATTATATATATCATTCGTCCCCCCTTCTGAAACAATATAGTTCGTATTTTAAATATTCACTATAATATATAAAATTGTATATTACAGTTAATATCTAAAATACGAGCTAAATGGCGCGCGCTTATTTCGTTATACTTTATTCAGTCAAACACAATGATATCACAATGCCGATCTCCAGCAACTACCAAGGTCTAATGTATTTATAATTTTAGAAATATTTCATTAATTTTAACTATAGCTTAATTTCTATTATATCTTGAACGTTTCTCACGAGTCTATAATTTTGCATCTTTAATATACTTGTCACGAATTTAAGATTGAAGTTTGTTTTCTATTCAGATATAATTAGACCCAATTTGGAAGAATTATTCTTTATGATCACAGCATAAGAATAGAACTAAGAGCGGTAATATATTATCTAACGAGAGAAGTTAGTGGCATCCCAGATAGCACATAGAATTCAAAAAGAATTCAGTCGTATGCCACCAATTCTGAGTTCATTTTTAGATGTAAAAAGAATTCTTTTTACTGAACTGAACTCTGAGGAATTCCTTTTACATCTGAAAATGAACTCAGAATTGATGATATACGACTGAATTCTTTTTGAATTCCTTTAGAATTCTCCGATATCTGCGATGTACTACATGCAACTGTGCGGTTCCACTTTCGCGTTTCATAGTGGGCGCCTCGGGGTTCGTAACTCGCGAAAAAATCCGTGAGAGTGCGACACCGCTCGCCGATGCAAAGCGGTATGTGCACACGTGACGATGTCGAAAGCAAAAAAAACAAAGTATAACTGACGTGTCCTAGACGTGTAATAAGAAACAACGTGGCAGTACGTGACAGAGTAAGGGGCTGCTTATTGTCGCGTGGTTCTCACTGAAATCGTCCGTTCTCGCGCATTCGTCTCCCACGTTGATGTGCACGCGAGGCGCGATAAAGGCGAACGAATTGGCGTGACAACCGTTACTTCTGACTCACGACCCGAGCGAAGGTTATGTTCTCAGCGATCGCGTCTTCGTTGACATTTCGTGAGGTTCGAGGCAAATTATAGGCTCGTCGCGGAATCACACGATCGCGAGAGTGTGGCACACCGATGTGCACGACTACGTCGCTGCGGTATGCGGTGACGAGCGTGGATTTGATTCTGATTCCGAGCTGACTCGCAAGTTCTTTGCCGATAACTTTGGAGATCGGCGTCATAATAGCGCGTCTGACGTGAACGTGGCAGTGGTGGTCGCAAACGCGAACGTGGCGAGACTCGCCGCGTAGAGAACGTGTCGCGCGGGTATATGGATTATCGTTGACCCGACTGGTCCTCGCACCCTAATGAGGAGGAAATTGGAGAAGGACGACGGCGTCGAGGACGGCGTCGTAGTCGACGCAAACAATGTCCAGGAGCCTTCCGATCTGCGAGGTGACGAGAAGAACATCGCGATACTGTTCTTCTTATACCTGCTGCAAGGGATCCCCTTGGGTCTGTGCGGCTCGATTCCTATGCTGTTGCAGAATAGAGGAGTTTCTTATCGGCAGCAGGTACACGAGAGCTTTGTGAGAACTGGACGCACGATTAGACTGCTGTTAACAGCTTGAGAGAGTGATGTCTGAATAACAATATTGTGGAAAATGTAAATGTATCATTATGTGCTTGTGTGTACGATACTGTATCCCTTAAAAGAAACAAGTAGGAATATCTGTTTCTTTGATCTTTATTGTGACTATATAGGTTTTAATATCTGAATTATACCATATAAATTTAAATATTATAAAGTCAGAGAAACTTGTTTCATCTATCCTATTCTTAGGAGAACTAAAATAAATACAGGATTTTGAGACAAAAGGCCTGTTCTTTGTAGCTGCACTGCTGAACTGGTGCAATAAGTTAGAGTGAAAAAACATATATTTGTCTCACTTCAATATATTGCACTAGTTCAGCAATGCAGCTACAAAGAACAAGCTTAAATGCAAAACTGTAGACATAAATGTGTTCTTCAATAATATCCTAAGAAACCCTTTCTGGGTTTCTTTGAACAGTGTCATAAAAAACTTAATATATCAAATATTTTCAAATTATTGTTGTGTATGCTCTCTAACAATCACAAATACAAAGCAAAACCAAAAGTCACAGGAAACTTAAGCAGATAATGATGACATGCTCATTCTGTAGTAAATTGAACAAAATAGGAAGCAAGTTAAACATAAATTAATAACTCATTCTTATTGTCACAGGCTGAATTTAGTTTTGTGCAATGGCCATTCTCATTGAAGCTCTTTTGGGCGCCTATAGTAGACTCCATTTTCTCCCAAAGATTTGGAAGGAGAAAAACTTGGTTGATCCCAACCCAATATCTGATGGGTATGTTTATGCTCCTTCTGTCGAATTATGTGGATCATTGGTTGGGTAAGGAGCACGAGAAGCCGAACATCGAAATGCTGACCGCATTATTTTTCGCTTTGAACGTGCTCGCCGCGACTCAGGATATCGTGGTGGACGGTTGGGCACTCACGATGCTTAAAAGGTACTTTCGCAAAATATTCGACTTACCTTATCGTGCACAAAAAAGGTCTCAGTTCATAACTAAATGGAGACTAGATGAAAATGCACGAGAACTGACGAGAAATAATATCCTTGGCATATATTCGAACTAAACTAAATACATGCTTTTTACTTCAAGTTCTGTTTTTCTTACCCTGGTTATTACTATAAAGTTATCTTAGCTTGAAAATCAGAAAGGCGTACTTAGCGTCGAATATATTATTGCCGCAACCGAAAACACTCGTCTGAGTATTTAGCGGCATTAAAACGGCGGAGTATTAAAACTTGTTGAGAAAGCTGAGGACAATCGACTGAGTGGAATCTTGTCCTATAAGAATCTTTCTGTTCCTACAATCGAGTTTTCATTTGGTCCCCAGGCAGCAGAAAATTCAATTAGACTTTTTTGCTTAGGCAATGTTTTTTCACACGGGATAAAACGCCCAATTATTGGCATCCCCTTAGCATTGATACTTCAGAAGAAAACTTGATTTTTTATGCGATCAACATTGCAGCTAAACTTCTTGCTTGCACTTGATGCCTTGTTTTACCATAAAAAGAACTTTACAACTTTACAACTAAAATTGTGAACAACTGTCGCTGATCGAAAGAAAACCAGACTTATAAACTAAGAGAAATTAATAATTGGGTGTCAGTAATTTTATCCTGCATACATCGACGAAATTGTCGTAAGATTCGAACCGTGTGATCGTTGAATCATTTGCTCAGGTGCAACGTCGGCTACGCATCCACTTGTAACAGCGTCGGCCAGACAGCAGGTTATTTCATCGGCTACGTCTTATTTATTTCCTTGGAATCCGCCGAGTTTTGTAATAATTACTTGAGATCGACCCCCTCGGACGAAGGCATCCTTACATTGCCCGGTAAAAAGCGCTTAGTAATCGGGATCGTTGCCTATGCATAGATGTATTTAGATGTATGTACACGAGCGTCGCAATCAGTAACATTCGTGTCTCGCAGGATTTCTATATTTCTGGGGCTGGACGTTCGTCGTCACGACGACTTTCATAGCGTTATTCAAGCATGAAAGCAAAGGTAAGGTCTCCAGGGGAGAGAACCTGAATATGGACATCAGGCACGCATACAAGCTACTGTGGGATATCGTAAAATTGCCGGCTATAAAGACTACGATTATATTCCTGTTGACGGCAAAGGTGACGACGTTACGATAAATAAAAACAACGGCATGTAGATTCGCGCCAAGCTTGTCGTGTTCATTATGAATATTTTGTACCGTAGATCGGGTTTTCGGCGTGCGACGCAGTGACCGGTCTAAAACTCATAGAAGCTGGCATACCGAAGGAGAAATTCGCATTTATGGCGGTACCCATGATACCACTGCAAATCATCTTGCCGTTAGTGATCTCCAAGTACACCGCTGGGCCGAGGCCTATGGATGTTTACATGAAAGCCATGCCTTATAGGTAATAATTGACGCGTCTGTACGTTGACTAGGGAAGATTCCGTTGGAACGGCTTATAAACACTTGTTTCGAAATACAGGCTGGCGTTTGGCGTGATAGCCGCGCTCCTGGTGTGGGTTACGCCGCTCGTTGTGGCCAACGGATACGTTCCTGCGTATTACTTTGTTGTGCTGATAGGTATCTACTTCATACATCAGGTGAATATCAGATAACGATGTATGTCACGATGCTGTGTAGCATGCGTGTCTAATTGCGTTGGTCGTAGTTCGCATAGGATTTCGTGAACGTTCGATTTTGATTTAGTAGTCGTATGTAATATTCTCCCTTTAAAATACAGATATCCGCGAGTAGCATGTTCGTGGCATCGATGGCTTTCTTTGCGAAAGTGAGCGACCCGGCAGTCGGTGGCACCTACATGACGTTGCTTAATACTTTATGCAATCTCGGCGGAAATTGGCCTGCGACAGCTGCGCTTTGGTTCGTCGATCCCTTGACATTTAGGCAATGCAGCACCGACTATACAAACGACTGTAGCACAATGACAGAGAAAGAGGTTGGTCGCGGCGCTCGACGCCTTGTTTTATTATAATCGCACGTTGCTCAAAATAATTAGAGAATTATTTCCTCGAACATTCGTATTGTGTGATGTGTATCTGTTGTGTTCAAGTTTCCCCTTAATATTTCTCCATCTCGAATAAGTCTATGTAATAAATCATAATTTATTACATTTATTCAAATTTATTAAGATATAATAAACAGTTTCAGCGTTTTCAATTGTTACTACTTTTGATTGTAGATTTACGAAATCGTTCTGTGAAACGATTCTCTAATTGTGGGCAAAGTGTTGTCAACATTGTGGATGAATATAGATCATCAGAGAAGATAATGTCCATTATATTTTTCAGCTCTGTGCGAATACCGACAATGGCACTTGCGTGATGCAGCTCGATGGTTATTACATAGAAAGTATTCTCTGCTTAATTATCGGTTTCTCCTGGCTCAGGTGGGGCCGCAGAAAAATTAATTCGTTACAGGCTGAGCCGATGTCCGCGTGGAAAATTGTACTTACCCGTAACAACAGGTAACATATCAACCGTTGTTACGAATCCGCTAATATCCGGTACCTGTAACGATTTTTCTTCGACGAGTTGATGATGCGTATGTATCTGCCGTATGTGGGATGCATCGTTTCCTGCACGTTTAACCAAGTGTTCCAGTTTTACGAGTCGGGCACAGGGCGGAGCTGAGTCAATGAACGATTCATTCGCCTTGGAAAGTACAATATGTTATTACGGAATATGTACAGTACAGAGAGAGCCCACGAGCGATCGTGATATAACGTTAAAAATAATAAAAGAGAAATGAATATAAAAAAAAGTACGGATCTCTGATCTGATGGTTCGCATCTTGTTTCGTTCAATTTGGACATAAAATTTTAGTGATAATGAAATACATTCAGTGTACAGTGTGCATATACATATATACATATATATATACATACATATATATATATATTTATTTATTTATTTGCCAACAAATTGAGTAATGAAAATTTTTTCCCAAAAATATTTGATTACGAAAGATTTGGAGTATATTATTTTTTTACAGAGCGTTATTAAGTATCATTTAGATGAAGCTTGAATTTACGATCCGTCATCATTACACGAAGGTTAGTGTGTTATTGTTATTATATAATAATTTAAATAAATTATGATTTCGCACACATGATATTATACTTTGCGAATATTTCATAGACATTTTTTAAAGAATCGATAAACACATGATATGTGCGATACGTGTTTACAGTTTGTATTGTATATGTATCTGAAAATACGAATTTTGTGCATAAACGAAGACAAACGATTAACATAGAATACTAATAAAATTTTTTTATACAAAAGGCTTGAATAGTTACACTTTATTAATCACTGATACACCTTTCTAGATATATACCTTGATTACGAATATAGTTGTATAGACGTAGATAAACATGAATTGCAGACATCGCAAGATATCAATCTTAACTCAGTCAGCAAGAAATCATTACAATAATGTTATTATAATGTTATTTAATTACATATTTGTAACATTTATAAATAGAATGTTTTTTAATATTGCATAAAACATCATGAAAAAAACTTTAGACATAGTTCCTTCTGTATTTCGTTACGTCAATAGGATGTTTTTCGTTCTTAACAGATTGGATTTTGAAAAAAAATTTTCTTCTTTAATTTATCTTTAATATATCTGTTGATTGTAGTCATTTTTTATCGAATTATTTTACGTTAAATAAAGTATTCCATTTTGATCTTGATTTCTCACAGGAGGTGAAACAATTTGTATACAACATTCTCTAATAAACCAATAGAAAGTTAAAAGTTTCCTCTTTAAAATGCATTTATTCAATTTCTTACACAAATAGTTTGTCTATGTAATACCAACCGAAAAATGTAATTGGAAATTAAACTGTTGCTGTTTCTCATTTAGCTCAATATGTCTTAGCAAAAAACAATGGCAAAATTATAACACTAATATAGATAAAAACTAGAAATTTCAGGCTACAAAGTGCTTTTCAAACCATCTCAATAACATGACTTTTATCGTAGTTACAGGTCGTTGAATTTTTCCTATTTTTCTATATGGAGTAGAAAATTACTCCATGAGTCTGACTTGTTACTGAATAGTACTACTTAACAAGCATAAAAGTCTGACTCATTATTAAGTTGTATCACGTCCTGCTTTCTTTTTTTTATTGAGAATAAAGGGTGTACGAGTTAGGTATCACGTCCTGTGTTTCTCGTTGAGTAAAGTAGCGGCTCGTAACGGAGACTTTTGAACTAATTTATTGCTTGTGGAAATAGCGGGTCTAATACCACTCTATCTTAGACCCACTATTCCCAGGAGCAAGTAAATTAATTCAAAAGTCTCCGCTACGAGTCGCCACTTTACTCAATGAGAAATACAGGACATGATACAACTTATAGCATGTTCGACTGGCTCTGGATTAATTCACTCTGGATTATTCAGCTTACGTTTATTGGTCGAACAAATACTTATAGGTTTTATGATTGGCTAGTAGAGACTTATGACGTCATTAATCGCTCTTGGAGCGATTAACCCAGGGCTAATCGAACACGCTATTACATTCTATTAATACTGTATATTATTCCTAAGAAAACTGTATTCATTTTCGAATTCGTATTATATAAGGTTCGGATAGGCTTAGCACCTAGACCCGTACACTACCGACTTTTTGTACACCCTTTATTCCTAATAAAAAAAAAAGGACGTGATACAGCCTAATAATGAGTCACACGGACTTAATGTTTTTTAAATAGTACTACTCAGCAACTGCCAAACGCTTATCTACTTTATATATAAAAAATAGGAAAAATTAAAGTTTCGATATTTGACCGACTCCAATTTATATTCGCATAGTATTTTATATAGTAAAAAATAATTGTACTTCGCACTCAAAAATATATACGGGAACTAGAGACTGAGCTAATAAAATAATCCTTGAACCATTTCATTATCTTCATTTTTCCCAAAGTTACAACTACTCAAAGTTTGATTATTTTTCATGATCGAAAAAACTGTTTGTTGGAGATTACTCATTACATGATGCAAAATGAAGAAAAGCATTGCGTTGTACAAAATTTTTATTTATTTAACGATATTTTAGAGTCAGCTATAGTCGGGGATTATACTTTCCATTAGGTACATTTCATTTGATCAGTTTTATCTTATATTCTTTTTCTTTCATATTCGAAACGTATACTCGCACATCATCGTCGATGATTCAATAACGTAAGACGTAGTGAATCCCATAATCTTCCCCTTTCTCTCGTTTCTCAGAAATTATAAACTAGGATTCCTCAGTGTATAAACTGTCCTTTCTGAAATGAGAAAGGTATAGCTATGCTCCCGTTATCCGAATGTATTTAAGCACTTATTAATCATCATTTGAGAGAGTGTGATCCAACTTCGTCTACGCTTTTTCTAAATGAAAGAGCAGGTCCGCCACCACTGTATCTTACAATAAATCACGATGTGCAAAGTCTCACAACATAGTAAGGAAGAAAGAAATTAAAGGAAAACAAAAACATGATAATCCGTGCAGTTTCCACAATTGAAAGTAAAAAAAAAACTTGGGGACAGTATTTAACGAACACAATCTAAACATGCCTCGGGAACGTTATAAATACTTCTCTCATTCGGATCAATCTGGATTCCCAAATTCACTTCTGCAACGAACAGTTTTCTGTTTTCCTTCACTTCCGGTTCTTTACGTGGTAATATTTCTAATCGCGAATTTGCTTGGATGCAACAGAGCGCTGCGGTGCGCGTTTCGAGGACTGTCGTCTGCACGAATTGCAACGCGTAGTATACAAGTGATTGGATCTGTAAATCGCTCAGCACGCATCTCGTCACATCGCTTGAAAGAATATATGTACATTATACAATTTCCGACACAGTATACATTATCCTGAATATAAACACTTTTACTTTGTCAATGAAGGCGCTTCAGTTGTGCTTTCGCGCGTTAGATGAACTACACTCAGAGAAATACAAGATAATAGCTATAAAATGACAACTATACAAGTTGTACGCAGAATTATAATGTATATAGTTTAATCAATAATTTTATAGCTATTGCAACTGAAGCTTTGGTTATAATAACTATAAAATAATTCATTGGACTATATATATTAATTTTACATACAAAATTCATACAGTTACTTTACAGTGAGTCAGCCATCACCCTGTCTTTTTCTCCGAGTACATCGGATGTCGAGCGACAGTCCTCAATCGCGCACCGGGTGCATCTCAGTGCGCACCCAAAAATAAACTCGCTCGTTAAGCTTACAGCGGGTATTTCTTTTTTTTTTTTTTTGACGCGTGTGCGCATTATCGCGGACGCTAAGACACTCCCTTTAAGATTATACCGTTGTACTCCGTAGATATATGTATAATATGTATATATATGTATCGTACAAAGCGTTCCGTAAAATAATCATCGGCTAGAGGTCTAAATCGCTAGCGTCGTCGGCAGATCATTGTCGCGCGTTGTGTTCCGTCTCCAAAAGACAGTCGCGCACGAGCATGCGGGCATGCTGGATGCCCATCTTCAGCCTCTCAGCCGCGCTGCGACTACCCGCGTAGGATAGGCGAATATCCCTACCAAGCTCCTCGATAATCACCAACAGTTGCGCGTACTTGCCCTGGCCCGGCACGCTCGGGAAGTTGATCGTGCTGGACGGGCTGGCCTGCGCCACTTGCACAGTCTGCACGTTCTGCAGGTTTCTGGGATTTGGCACGGTGATCACAGGTTCGGGTATACGCGGGATTTCTGGGATCTTGGGCGGCGGCGGCGGCGGTGGCGGGTCGTTCAACTTCGTTATCGTGATCTCGTTCAGCTTGGCCAGCTCCGTCAGCTTGGCCATCTCAGCCATCTTCGAATACTCGGGCATCTTGGTGATATCGTTCTGTATATTGGCCATCTTTATCATTTCGTTCATCTTGCTTTTCTCGTTCATCTTCGCAATCTCCTTCGCCATCTCGTTAATTTGCGCGATCTCGTTCAGCTTGTTGATGTCGTTGTTGTACTTGGCCATCTCCGACATCTTCACCATGTCGTTCAGCTTCGCGATCTCGTTCATGCGCTGCACTTCATTGATTTTGGCCATCTGCGACATCTTCATCATCTCGCTCATTTTCGCCATCTCATTCATCTTCGTGATGTCGTTGTACTTGGCCATCTCCGACAGCTTCACCATCTCGTTCATCTTCGCAAACTCCGACATCTTCGCGATTTCCTGCATCTTCATGTACTCAGTGGTCTTGGCGTACTCAGCCATCTTCTCCATCTCATATCTCTTCGCCATATCCTGCGACATCTTGTTCAACTCTGTTATTTTGCTAAACTCCGCGAGTTGAGCCATTTGAACTATATGCTCAGGTACTTTGCCTCTCTCCATCATCTGCTTCAATTCCGCGGATATCTTGTTCATGTTCATTTCGGACATCTGCGCTATCGCAGCGGCTTCGGGCATCTTCGACAGTTCCGCGATCTTAGAGATCTCCCTAGCGAGATTCTCGTCCAAACAACGCTTCTTCTTGGCACGGTGCCTGGCCATACGCTGGGCTTCCTGCATTCTTCTTAATGTTGCTTGCTCCTCAGTCTCTTTAGCTCTGGCGTTCTTCATTCTCTCCGCAGCCGTGTACAATCTAATAGCACGCTCCTCTGCTGTTTCTGACATTAGTTCGTAACTTCTATGGTCTAACATCTCCCTTACCTTCTTAAGGTAAGAATATTTCTCAGCTCTGAACACAACACATTTGCATGAATGAAATGAAGCTTATATTTTACATGGATTACCATCATTGATGGATATTATCTCAAAAGAAATCTTATGGAATCAATCAATATACAATTTGTACCTGGTTTGTACCAGTTTCTACCTGTCTCCTCCACTCTTGATTGATGCAGAATGCAGTTGTTGGTCTATTTATAGATAAGATCACTTGGTAGAAAAAAACAAAATCCTCGGTAATCCAACTGCAACAGATAAATGACACAACATTGATAATGCGCTATGAGAGATAACTGACCTGTTCTTTTTAGCTGATTTAGTGCTGCACTGAAACTTTGTTCTTTTTCTCTTCAGCACTTAGTTACATACTTGTTTCATCTCAAAAACAAAGAATGCAAATTAATTCAGCTAAAAAGAACAGACTTAATGCAAAGTCTGTTTTTAGTTGTATTGAAACTTTATTTTACTTTTACATTCAGCACTTGATTATGTAGTGGATTCCCTTTAAAGATAAGAAGTACAATCTAATTTAACTAAAAAGAATAGATTTAATGTAAAAGGCCTGTTTTTAGCTGTATTAATGCTATATTAAAACTTAGTTACTTTTCTCTTCAACATTTTGTTTTAACATTATATATAAATATATATACATATATTTTTCTTTTTAGACAAGAGTATAAGTTAATTCAGCTAAAAAAACTAACCTAACATAACCTCATGCAAAAAGCCTGTTTTTTGTAGCTATACTAGTGCTACATTGAAATTTTTCTTTTTTATACTAACATTTGATTATATACTTATTTCGCTTTAAAAGCAAGTGGAAGCTAATTTTGTTAAAAAATAAAAAAATAAACCAATAAAAAAACTTGTTTCTTTTTGTAACTACACTAGTGCTGCATTTAAACTTCATTTCTCTTCTCTTCAATATACTTGTTTCATCTTAAAGACAAGTGCAAGCTAATTCTGCTAAAAAAAATAGATCTATAATCTTTTAGATGCTACTGAGTGACGAATGATTCTACATCGCGCGAGATCAATGCATTGTCAATGAACGAAACCGATCAATTGTTCCTACCGTTATTGTTGATTACATCGTCGTATTTCAGGCATTATCGCGTCCATAGCCACGCGATTCTCGGCTACTAAGACGAACGCCACGACTGCCTCGGCGTCAGCATCGACGATGCGTGAACGAGTCGGCGGGAAACAGTTGACCGTGTCCTACGGAGAAGAGATAGAAAAATAAGCGCAAACAGACCGCACGAGGCCGTCGTGGGTGAGAATTTTTCGGCAGCACGTGCGCGAGAATAACCGACAAAGAGTGCGTTTTCGAAACTACCTGCGCGTATACGCGTGTGTGACTCGTCAGCGACGAATGGGGATATGTGTGTGTGTGCGCGGTTATTAGCGCATACGCGCAAATGTACACGCTTTATATTCACTTACGCCGCTATCGGAAAGCTGTATATACGCAACTACACTGACAACTGGCTTCGTGTATCACTCTGCGTCGCGTCCACCGGCTGCGCTTACATATGTATGTCTGTGTACACGTGTATTCAGTCGTGTGTGCGTCCGTGTTCGCTCTCTCTCCCTCCACAGCCGAAATTCGAAAGAAGAATGTAGTCGTGTCGTGTATCCGTTACGCGCATGCGTCGGGAGCTAAGAACGCCGTCTTCTCTTTCGTTACATAGGCGGCTCCTCCGCTCGCTCCCCTCTCGCCACCGATTACAACAATGGCGGACGCAATTTCGCCGATCCACTGAAACGCACCATCCACCCACCCGGGCGAGAAATCGCGTGCTCTCAGACTCCCACGTTGCGTCCGCGTGTTCCTCGCGAACGGCCGCGTCCGTCGGTGCGCCTCACGCCGTGATCCGCACGCCTTTTCTCGTGTTATTTCGCGGACAAACGCACAAAAGCGAGTATCGGCCGACACGTAAGATTTTCGTTCGGAGCCACTTTAAGGGGCCAAGCGGGGTCGTCGCCGATAGGCTGCGTGTGACGTGGTTGCGTTTATTGACCATAACCCCTTCCTATACTACCGTCTGGAACTTCACGACGGACAGGTGTACGACCTGCCTGCTAGAGGGATCGCAAAACTATTGACCGACTCGGCGCGCTGAGGCGCTTCGCACATCTTTCCGTGTTCTCCTCGCGCAAGAGAAAGATAGCCACGTCTTCGGATACGTGTATGCGTATGTAAGTTGTGTGTGAGGGGAAAGAGCGAAGAAAAGGGAAACGCGGTGGACATCGATCGAGATGAACGGCTATACTTGTCTCTACGTGGATTATGAAGTGGGCAAGCGGATGTGATGCTTTCTCAGCAAATTGTGAGAATTTCGCTGACGAGATATTTCGCAAGATGACTTTAATGTCAAGATCACGATCTTAGAACAAATGACGCAGTGAGGACAAACTGTGAAATTGACCTCATCACATGCTCTTGCTTTTTGTTGATGTGCATCAATTTCAATTGCATTGAGTTAGAATTTATTTTTGATTGATGTGACGAAAGGAAGGATTTTTTCCATTAAGGAGATATAAAAAATGTAATCATGATTTTGACTAATATATAAATATATAATGTAATATAGAAAATAAAATATTTACATATGTGAAAATATATAATATTTTTAATCGGCATGGTTTGAAATTTAACAGAAAATAGAGACTATGTTGATAAACATAACTTTAAGGTAAAAGTACCAATGTCCAGACATGTATTTAATTCTGGACACTCTATTTTTTATAGTCTTTAGGTATAAATATTTAAACTTTCAATATAAAATATATGTACAAGTGTTGAGTATATAAATATATTCTATGTTAAAAGTTTAAATATTTGTATCTAAAGACCAAAACAATAAGAATATCCAGAATTAAATACATGTCCAGGAATTAGTATCTTTACCTTATACTTCATAATTATATCTTCTCACCTATATAAAATACTTTGTTTCAGGTTGTACATCTGTATAAAGCTTAGTGGGGAACAATCTGTAATATATCATACATATTACATTATTTCTAAATGAGTTAATTAACTTGAAACACTATACAAAGTATTATATGAATTCAACTTATTCAATATGTATATTTCATTGTACGAATACTATTTTCTTATGTCATTGGTTATTCTTCCTGTATATCTCTTCTTCAAGCTTTGGTCATGGCTTGGATGGGAATTGTTCGTAAATAATTAAAATTTTAATACTTGTACAACTTAAAGAGTGTTGCAAATTTTATCTTGGTGTGCATATATGTATACATGCAAGGCTAATCTTTGGTAAATTATCATGATGCCAAGTTATCATGATCTCTAGTTATGCCTTCTTGTTAAATTATTCTTAAACATAAATAAAGTTTTTGTAATCTATACCAAAATAAAATCTGTTAAAATTAATCTTATTAATGTCCTAAACTTGATAAAAAAATCAAATGGTAAAAGACCTAGGATTAAATTTCATTAGTGATTATTAATTCATCTAGTCCCATTCTTCCTCGATGTTTCCATATTCTGAACCTAGCGACATCTTTTCGTGTAATAATACCGACCACCTGTGTGAATATAAAGAATATACTTATTTAAATAAATATATAGAAATAAATTGAATCAAGCTGCAGCGTTCTACTGCAGTGTTACCTCGTTTGTGTCATTTACCACTGGCAAATGACGTAATCCTAACGCTCTGAACAGTCTAAATGCTCTTGGCAGTGTTGCGGACTACAAGAATAAAGCAGCAGATAGTTTTGCAGGCTTCTACACGACAAGAGATATCACGATATAAAGATTACTAACATGTTGTAACGTATACGGAGCGGGATTCATAAAGTGTCTCAAATCAATCATGTAGGTTTTCTCCTCATTGGTGACGTCAACCTGCTCGATGGTTGGATACCTAGGATATTCTTTTCTGAAAATCTTGATGTTCAGCAACTTGTCCCACGACTCCGCATACTCGTTAAATATCTTGTTTTGCAGCAGTACTATTAATTGGGAACGCAATATCAAACCACGGAATCGGCCGTAAGTACTTATCTCGCTCTGAAACGCAAAACACATATGAAGTCGTGCTTATCACTTGCTATATCATTTCGCTAATTACCTGATCGCTGCTCGGCGGATCAACTACCGGGAACCCGTTAAATGTAACACACTTTAGAAGCTCGACGATGTGTCCCACGTTTTCGACGGTCCTCAGAGTCACTACTGGATGACTCATGATTTCACTCGCGTAAATGTTACTCGATAATGGAGGTGGTTCCCACGGAATCAACGGAATACCGGCCATTTGTATGTGAATATCGTAAATTCCCTGAAGAACAACTTTGCTGCAGTTATCAGAAATACATGTGTGGGCTCCTGGACTTCACCGCGGTCATCTTGACTTGTGACGCCAGAAGCAAGAAAATGTGTTGAGATAAAAAGATATATCCATAAAATGACATGTGCGAATGATCAAGACTTGTGGAATGATCAATAATCTTAATATGACATGCAACCTTCAAATACTTTCAAGAATTCCGCGGCAAGAAATTAGGGCTGGTATTCCGTTATCGTAGTTCCGACAGTTGTCGGATTGGTAGGCGTCGTTGCGCAGTTTTTCCACGGTATAAAAAAGCTGCGCAACGACGCCTAGGTTCGACCGATTCGACAACTGTCGGTACGCGGGAACAGAATAGTACCCCAGGAGCTTTAACGCACACCAAGTGTCAATATGTGTTGCTAGTCATACCTCGTTAAAGAAATCGCCGACCCATTTTGCCATTATAAGAACTATGATCACTGGTAAACCGAAGGATATCCCTTGCGTTGCTTCTATCAGAATCGCGGTTAAACTAATCGTCATTCTAACTACTCCTCCCAATTGTGCGGCGGCACCCAGTAGAGCGTATTTGCCAGGGTCTAGTATTACCTGTAACAATAAGAATGAAAATATATATAAAATATTATTACATATTATTTCAAGCGACTTGCAATTCACACAATTTTTAATTCCTTACGCAATTTGGCCATATTCTCGAGAGACCTGACCCAATCAATCTGCCCCATGCAGAACCAATCAACAAGGAAGGAATGAAAAGCCCGCTCGACATAGATAAACCAAAGGTACAAGCAGCAAGAAAAAAGTATAACACAACGAAGATTGCTAGCGTCAAGTCGTTGTGTGATCCTACATTGTACATAAAGCATTTGTTATTTTATAGCAAATTCTTTCTCCGTATATTAGATTGGTGTAAAATATTTGTCTTGTTTGCCAAATAACATACAAATTTTCTTTTAGACATCTAAGGAAGTTTCGCTGTTTTCTTTTTAATGCCCAAATTTTCTACCAGAATTTAATAGAAGAATGATCAATCTTTTGCACCATCCTAATATATTGTGTTTGTGAGATTGTGCGTACACATCGTACCTTTCGGATCATGAAACAAAGATCGCACGCTGCTTTCCGGAGTTTGAAACCACAAGCTCGCGACTGCATTGTATTCTCCATTACTGCAATACATTTGAACCGGGTACTTGGTAGGATCCTTGCCCAACGGTTTGCAGTCGTCGATGAAATATATCATCAAGAAGCCCATCGTCGCGCTCAGCATCGCCACGCAAAGAGCTTCTAATACTTTCTGCCACTTTCGTGTCACGAATCGTAAGCGGAAGCAGGTGATCTTGTAGTTAACGTGATTCCAAAGTGCGCCGAGTGCGCCGCCCAATGTGCCCATTAACATGAACAAGGGAATCTCGTAGACCTCGTAGGGAATCGACTCGAATTTCCCCAGATTCAATAAACCCGGGTACGAGAGATCGCCCGGATGCCCATGATACGCGCTCAAAATTATGTTTAGAGTAAACGTAGTGATCATACTGGCGAAAAATGTCCTCCATGTGAGGCTTTGATTAAAGAAACTAGTGCCTTCTTCTATACTGAACAGAACTCCACCTAAAATGTTCGAAAGTCACAAATTATTTAATTTTTCAAGACACTGTCTTTTTTTTCTTAAGAAGTTTCATCATCAGGTATTTATTTTCATTTAGATAATATCATTTTTTGCAAAGTTATACTGGAATAATAGTCATTTTTATTACTTCTATCGTAAGATTACATGTGTAAAATTGCAAATTCTATATTTCTCATGAACGATATATACAAATCGCATGAAACTTTAACAATAAATGTTATATTAAAGTTTTATGTAATTTTAAGCATTTTGGTTTAAATAAATATACTCAACGATATTTACCTATCGGTGCTCCAAAAGCTGCTGATACTCCAGAAGCAGCTCCTCCCGACACAAAGTCACGTTTCTCATGGTCCTCCCTGAAGTATTTGAATATCTTCAGGTCTTTCTTAAAAGTGGTACTTTTACCTTGGGAAATTCCCGCGGCGACCACGGCGCCAGAGTGTATCATAGGACCTTCCTATGTGGAGAAAACGAAATATAGATAAAGTTTAAGAGAAAGGAGCACTAGAAAATGACAATAGACCGCTCACTTTGCCTCCAGCTAGGCCTCCAACCACTGTACATATAACACCGATAATTTTCACAGCCAGTGTCTTGATACGCACAACTCTTGGTATCTTGACACCGTTCAGGTAACATTTCACTTGTGGAATACCACTTCCTGCAGCAACAGGTTCAATATAAGCTACTAGGATGGCACCTACTAACACTGGAATTATATTTAGACTTAACCATATCAAGCATGGCAACCAAAGGCAATTCTCTATCACACATTGGTCCACATCTGCTATCTATATAAGGTTCAATAATGCACGTTACTTTGGGTATCATAGAATGTCACATATGTAAAAGGATACATTTCTTAAGAAAGCCATACTTTAGATTAGATAATTCTTCTACCGATATATCTACAAAACATGCTATTAAAGCGGTGCAAATTCCTATCAAAAGGAAAATGAACCATCTGGCAAAGTCCTTTTTAACAATGAACTTGAAGCCTTTCTTCCTTTCTTCATCTTGTAAAAGATAATTTTCACAAGTGTCATAATCTAAGCTCTAGAAACAAAGATATAATCAATACATGGCCAAGTTTTAATTACTGTAAAAATCTTAAAATACACATTGAGGAAAACAAGATAAAACATATTACGTGAAAATATCCAATTATATATAAATATATTTTTTGTAGAAATCAAAGGTTCATGTAGTAATAATATGGCATGACTAATTGTGATATTACGATTACCTCATAATTAGTTGACAAGAAGTTTGTTGCTCCTGGGGTTATGTCCCCGATATTCAGCCTCCTTGGATTCTGACCCGAGATACCCTCTGTATTGTTACATTCTCTGATACTGCTGTTGATGATACTCTGCAAATAGTAGGGCATTCTATAAATACAGTTCTGCACATAACATGTGCTGACAATAAATTTAAAACAATTAATCACAATTGATAAAACTGTAAAAGAAAATATAAAAGTATGGTAATCAAAGTGTGTTACTGTTTCCTGCAGGAGGTAAGCCGTTTCATCAACTTACACGAAATCGCACATCGATGTCCTCGTTAGAGTACGACGCGAAATTATTCCTAGGCTTGATCAACCTCTCTCGACTTCCCTGGACGTGCACGTCGACGCTGTCCTCGTCATCTCTGTTATTGATCTCGATAACGCTCGTCGGCAGATCTGTCATTTTCGCGTATGATCAGGATTGGAGGATCCGTTCAGCGCATTTTACGTTCGATTAACGTTGCGAGACATCCAACAGCCGAAGGACTTTCACATTAATTCATATCGTATCGTGTGGTCGAAACATAATTACACAGGCGAGTGACTCGCGACGCATTCGACGCGACGACTATGTACACAAGCTGACGCACACGAGGAAGTGACAAATAACATTCAACTGAATCTAGAACGACGATAGTGATTCGACGAATGATTCATCATGAGATAATACGGAAACCTGACTGTGAACAGAGATCGACTGTGGTCGATAAAGCGCGCCAAACGTCGATAAGGGCGCGTCTTGCTTTTATCGATTCGCGCTGTTATTCAACTTTGAAAAGGTCGAAGTCGAAGTAATCGAAAGGGCAGCATCGTGATTCTCTCGATTGCCGCGAAGTCGCCAGAGGTCGAGGTCGCGCGCTCATCGTCGCGCAAGGCCGTAGTTTGAACTCGTCCGTCGGCTGAAGAACGCTGTATGTTTGAGACGTGAAATTCAAGCAGACATTCGAAGGAAGGATTTCACGTTCCCACACGACACCTTTGATTCCCAAGTAAGATTTCCAAAGTGTCTTAGTTTAGTAAGTTATGTCAACTTGTGTGCGAAAGTCTTAACAATTAAAGACTCAAGCCTTGCGCTGTGACCATCTTGATTAATGGCGTCAAAGGTACGAAAGTGCATGAAATTCTTGCAAAGTGAAAGATTTCTATAAATCTGCTTGAAGATATCTCGAGAAAGCGAGAACCTTAACTGATTTTAATTAAAGGACTAGTCAATCTGAAACGTTTGCGAACGCGTATCTTCTTCTCATCTATCTTGCAAAAAGATGTCATAATTCGCCGGTTGTTTTCGTTTTCTATGAGCATAAAACAGTTGATTCAATGCAATTGACTTTGAATGTAAGCATATTTCTTAATTAGTTTGTTCCTTTTCGCTGTACTCTCTATACTAGCTTGCACTATTTCTCTTCTTTTATCTGCCAGATCTGTATATACCGTATACACTGCAAATACAAGTGATATTTTTAAATCCATAAGTATGTAATTTGGTTGAAGTTCTTTTTATAAGTTTCTTGCACGTTTTAAATCACATCTCTTAATACATTTAAAACGTGTGAATTACAACTTAATGTGTTTAAACGTGTTAAATAACGTGACTTGGAACACTAAGAAACATATAGGAAGAGATTCAGTCAAAATAACTTGAATTTGCAGTGTACATACCTGTTTCTTTTCGAGTTCTGTAAATGTGCATTAATTCAGCGAAAAAGAATAGACTTAATTATTAAAGAAACACATGAAAGAGAGAGGCGGGAAAAGACGAGGAAATACGCGCAAATCTAAGTGTGTTATTTTTAAGCGCATAAGCGTATAATTTGGCTAAAGCTCTTTTTACTCTCGACTGTTACTAACTGAAGGTTATTACCTTGTTTTAAGTCACATCATTTAACATATTCAAGAAGTATAAATAATTTGAAGACTGTAAGAAGTGTGAGATAACACATTTGGATTTGCAATGTAGCGGGATCGGGAGTGAACATAGAAACAAGGTAGAAACTCAAGAGACCATAGCGTAATTTCGTTTTTCTTCGAGCACACTTGTCTTTCAACAATTTCGCACACCTTCCTCGCTGTCTGCTCAAAAGTTCTGACTCTCGACGTTCCTGACTTCCAAGAACAAGGTGAACAGCGTGTGGAGAGCCTCCAGTCTGGCGCCGTCCCGCGCTGGAATGTCCAGAAGGTTGCAGGCGATGTCGACCAACTGCGGTAAGTCGCAGTTGAGGTCCGACAGGTCGACCGGCAGCTCGTTGAACCTGTCCTCTACCTGCGCCGGCCACTGCTGCATCAGGCCGTCGATGTCCGGCATCGCTCGGTTGATCTGCACTGCCGGCGGATGCTTGCTCCGATGCAGCTGATTCATGTCGTCGATCCACTTGTCGATGGACTTGCCGTTCCTCTCGGCATCCTCGATTCTCTTAACGACCGCCTGTCTAGCGGCACCGGCGCTTCTCGAGTGGCTGCGCAGCTGCAGGTGCAGCACTGCCGGGTCGGACTGGTCGGTGCAAGGTTCGTCCAGCACCGTCAGGCCGATCTTATCTTCCACGCCGTCGGGTCTAGGCACCTTTATGAAGGCGTCTATGTCGCCGACCGCCGGTATGTAATCGGGAATGAACGGTATCAGCTTGTAGTTGAGCTCGATCCTCTGCGGCGTGTATCTGCGAGCAGTCAATCAGCACGAAAATCAGTGATACTCGTCAACTTTTTGCTGAAATGATTCTTTCCAGTGCTGGGATTCTGTAACTCGTTATTGGAGTTAACGACAATTTTGTTATCGTTACGCAGCTTTTGTATATCGTATAAAAACTGCGCAACGATAACGAAACTGTCGTTAACTCCAATAACGAGTTACAAAATTCCAGTGCAGATTACTTGAGCTTTTTAAAGTTTGTCCTATCTTTCTTTTAGACACAGATGGATCTTTAATTGAAAAGAATCAATAGATAAATCTCGTCTCAATATATACAAATTGGTGGCTAGATGATGAGAAACAAGAGGAACGCGTCGAAAAAAAATATCTGAAACCATTAAGACGTGTTTTAGGCGTCTTTTCGAAGTTCGTGCTATCGGAATTTATTGCGTAACTCACCTTGTTATGTTCTGAAACAGTTCTTTGACCTCCGTTGACGCTTCCAGGTTCTCAAATTCCTTGGGATTGTACAGATCGACCTGTTTGGCGACGCTCGTACCCTGTATGTCGTCGTCATCGCTCTCCTCGCTATCCGAAGGGTCGCTGCCGATTCCCATCGGCTTGCCGAAGCCGAGATCGTTGCCGGAATATCTGCGCATACCATTCCACCACGGTGTGTGACAAAATCCTCCTTGACGTAAACGCGAAAGCGATTCTCCTAGATCAATTTCACGCGTTTATAAATAAATCATTTCATCGCGATGTGTGACAGAATCCTCTTTGACGTCAACGCGAAAGCGATTCTCTGAAATCCATTTCACGCATTTATAAATAAATTCGCACAGCTTGAGGAGGAATTCACCTAATCGCGGAGAGATACACGGAAGAACGTCACATCCTTCTCTACACCGTTGCAAGTCGAACCTAAGGAATCACCTTCGAAAATCGTGCTTCCCGCGCGGCGAGCTTGACTCCAGGGTGTTCGAGCTGTCGCTCGTCAGCATGGCCTTTCTGCTCCTCCTGCTTGAGGTGGAAGGCCTGTGGTTCACAGGACTTTTGATTTCCTCGGCGTTGCGCACCACGATGGTCTCGTCGAACTTGCCGAACGGCGCCGGGACATCGCGCCGTGTCTCCTCCTCGTCCTCCTCGCTGCTGTCTCTGGCGTCCATCGTCGAAGGACGTCCATGAGCGGCACGTCCTTCGACGATCGCTCTCAGGGTCTGTATGACGACGGTGTGATGCGGACAAACGAACGAATTGCACGATAGATCTATACAAATTGTTGGCTAGATAGCGAAAAGAAAATAGAACACGTCGACCAAAACTCTACATCTGTCGCATAGGACGGCGAGGTGGGGATGTGTTTCTCTAACGTTGCCATGGTTCTGTTCCAGTGTTCGATCTTCGGCTCGTCGGCAGTTCGAGTGAACATTTTTAAGCGGCATTGTGAATTAACCTTTTCAGGAATACTAAAAGGATTCATAATTTTAATTTTCATTTTATCTTCGATTTTAATTATCTAATTTGAATATTGCCGATAAAATATAATGAACTATGAGCAAACATTGATCACAAAGTTCTACAAGAGAAAGAGGAATCTCATCACATGACTGACAGATGTCATGCTTATGTCACTTGAAAATCAATGTTGGACATTAATCGATACAAATTTTCTTTGACCAAAATAATCGGCAAAACAATCATCAAAATCAATCAATCGTGTGTAATCATGAATAATTTAATAAATTAATAAATTTAATCATTGATTATTTTATAATATCAATCACATCAAAGTTTGATTAATTTCAACAATCAATGAAATTATTTGTGATTTTATATACGACGACTGATTAATTTTGATTGTTATCGGCGATTATTTTAGTCAAAGAAAATTTTAATCGACATATGCTCAATACTGTTAATAATTAAATCCATTTTTGTCTGTAATAGATTGATGAATAGGTTAATAAAAATCGATAGAGAAATCACATGAAAAGAAAAGGACGTCATGAAGGATGTTTGAATTTTATCGTTAGGATGTCTTTCCTATAACTTTCGCAACTGTTTTCCGGTTAGTCTCGGGTAATTCCCTGCTCGGTTTACAAGCGACATTGTTCGTTTTGTCGACACCCAATGAGTAGGAATCCCCGGTCTCTCTGACACGTGCAAACGAGATGCGGACAGTGAATCAGATCGGATTTGAGCGTGCGAATTCAGTCACGGGATGTGTTGCGATAGTAGGATTTTACCGCTTACTTCCGTAATTTGAATTTCACGCGAGACCGCATACGACATTTGTGTACTTTCAACTTTTAATCAGATTAAAAAATTCAAGAGTCTACGACAGCCAGTACACAGATAATCAGTGCAGCAAAAACAAAAACAATTCTTAAACAGTCGAGAAATAAAATATATTACTGAAATTATCTAAACATTTCGAACCTACTTTGGATCGTCAATATTCTGAATATTTACTAAAGATGATTCAAAGTAAGTTCGAAACGTTTGATGATTCTAATAATGTATTTTACTGCTTGACTATCTAGAAATTATTTTTATTCTTACTGGGCTATGTATTGGTTACTTGAAACCAATACATAGGACTTGGATCGTCAATATTCTGAATATTTACTACTGAAGATTCAAAGTAAGTTCGAAACGTTTGATGATTCCAATAATGTATTTTACTGCTTGACTATCTGGAAATTATTTTTGTTCTTACTGGACTATGTATTGGTTACTTGAAACCTGTTTCAGGTGAGATGCACAGATTTAAATTTGTTAAATGTGAGTCTTACAGCTGAATTGTGATTGCAAATGTAATGGCGCATATATTGCGTATGATTCAAGTAAAAAGATTCAAATCCAACTCTAAATTCATATCTGAGTATCTTACACGTGCGGGACAAGTTTCGGTACTACTAATACTAATGCCTTAGATCCTTGAAATTTTTTTAATTGATTGGGCATCAAAGAGCCTCATAAGATTTAATTTATAATATTTAATTTTATGTCTGTTTTCTTTCTGTGTGTTTACGTGTAGATCATTAATCGATACAAATTTTTTTTGACCGAAATAATCAGCAAATCAATCATCGAAATCAATCAATCGTGTATAATCATGAATAATTTAATAAATTAATAAGTTAAATTATTAATTAATATATAATCAATCATATAAGTTTGATTAATTTTAACAATCGATGAAATTATTTGTGATTTTATATATGACGACTGATTAATTTTGATTATTGTCGGCAATTATTTTAGTCAAAAAAAATTTTAATCGACATACTTTTGACAATTAAGTCTGTTTCTTGTCTGTAATAGATTCATCAGTAGACCAGATTGTGCTTTGACATCGATCTAACAAAACACAAAAGAAAAAATTGCATTATACGAGGCTTGTAACATCGATTGTCTTATCCAGTTCGATCTACACAAACATAATTCAAAGAGACACTGCCCATGATAAATCCTATTGTTTTATGATAGATAACGCAGACAAAAGCAATAAAACGCGGTCGCTTTTATCTGTTGATAACACCGAAAGTTCTAATCGTCAAATGAGAGGAAAAAAACGCGAAATCAATCGAGAAATTGCGAACGTAATAAAGAGTTTATTAACGCTCGAAAGTCGATCACAAACAAACATGATCCCGCCAATACACGCGGGCACTGCGCTTGTCCGATATCAGTATCGATACAAACGCACGAGGAAAGATATCGAGTAAAAAATAAAAGCCACTTCGGAAGAGGCGCGATCGTGGGTGATCGCGTCGATAAAAGAGCGATACAAACGTTAACAATCATGATGTGTATATACATATGCAATCGAAAATTGTCGGTCGATTAGACGAAGAGGAGGATAAGAAAGACCCTCCCGTCGCCGACCGAGAAACGGCGTCTCGCCGACGGATCTCTTAGGGTTGCGAACTGCAATTTCTCGTCCCCTCAGCTTCTCCTACACAGAATACTTCCCGTAGATGTGGCCGCTCCTGGTGCGCCTCACCAACCATTTCCGAGGTGTCGTTTGCGCGACGAGACAATTCGTTTGCGTCTTGGCGCACTTGTGAGGGTGGCTGGAGCGCGCGTAATGCTCCGAAGGTCTTCCTGTAAGAGAAGAAGGAACAATCACGAGAGAGATTCTCATGGACTCTTCGTTCTCGACACTCTCGCTAAGTCGCAGGACATAGCGAATGCGTCGAATCGACTTATGCAAGCTAGAGAACCCTACGCGCTGTCGACACGTTGCTCTTCGACACAGCCGGGCGTGAAATTTCTCGCGTCTCGACGACGACGTCCCGTGAGTCAACGGGGCTGTCGCAACACCTTGTCAGCTGCGAATTCGCGAGGCTCGAGCAGAAAAACGTTGTTTCGTCTTCAAAGGCCATTGGCATTCTGCACTCACAAAGATAGCTCTCAGTTTGTTCGTAAAATGACGTTCCCCATGAATTTCGGGAAATGTACAAGTGAGAAGACTCACGCTTCGACTTGCCGAATCATTTCGCAATTGGACGCTTCATTCTTGGGCGAATTCGCGGAGAGGATCATGAAGGCGAAGAGGAGGCCGCAAATGGCGAGAAGCACGACGAGGTCGGAGACAGTATCGGCGTGTTGCGGCGTGACGGCCCGTATCTTCGGGTTCGCGTTATCACAATCTTCCTCTGTCGTCACGAACCACGCGAACTTGTAAAAAATGAAGTCCTGCAATCGAGAGTTTGCGATGAGCTTACTGACCGCTCGATATAAACGCTCAATATTAGTTAGCTAATTAATATCGAATGTTCGTTATTACAAGGAAAAAGATTTTTTTAATAAAAATTATTATAGAATTTAAATAGAGTAATATTTATTGTATTTTCACGGTAAAAATTATTATAGAATTTGAACAATAAATTTTTTTTATAGTAAAACTACATATTATAGTAAAATTTATTATAATCTTGTGATCGAGAAGATGGATAGATAAAGACCAATAGACGTTCTTATCGACTTTGCCAATCGATAATGTATCTCTGCTCTCTCGTTTCATGTGTTTTTAAATATTTTCACGTGTTTTTAAATATTTCCATATGTACATATTTCATGTTAAAAAATTTGTTGTGTTTCTAGCGAGATTTTCTAACTTTCTAGTGGAACTTATCACGCTTCTTAGCAAGATAGATCTTTTTGAAAATTTATTCCTGTATTATTAAAAACACAGAAAAATTGGATAGAAATTTACATGAAAAGGAGTTATAACATCCTCTTCTCTAAAATTAATATCCTCTTCTCTAAAATTAATATTGAGTATTTATGCGCGTTTTACAAGAGAAAGAACGAGAAGGTTCGCGTGTAATAATTCGCCGGCTAGAGAAGCCCGACTCTGTCGGTCAAGGGAATAAAACGCGCGGCATAAATACGTCAACATAAATAATAACGCGATAAACGGTATCGTGTGTTTCCTTGTTCCTCGTTGTGCGATTTCTCCCTATAATTTCGCTCATTCTTTCCATGAAGGTTACCGACGTTGCGAGACGTACTCGCAGGAATATCAGAATTTGCCGGGCGATCAACTGGATGAAATAATACACGTTTCTCAGGTTATCCATCGACCATCGCCATCCGCTGGTCATCTTCATGCCGACTTGAGCGTCCCTTTTCAGAAAGTGCGCAAGATTTTTCCTCGTGTCATCTCCAGCCGAAAAACCCGTCGCTCGACGATCCGCTGACTAAGAAAAATCTGACGGAAGGCATTGCGACAGGCGAACGCGGGTAATCTTTTGTTTCTCATAGAAAGTGTATCCTTAGGCTTGTTCGCATTGCTTGCATCTTTGACACGGTAAATATGCAGTATAACGCTCTTATCTTGGATTTTTTTTAAACTTTGTAAATTTGTGTATTTTAACACAGAATTGATTTCTGAAAGCGAAAATTGTCGCTCATTTTTCGTTTTCTTGTTTTTTAATGTTTTAATGTTTTATGATGTTAGTAAGTAGGAAAGTAATAACTTTCCTTATAAAACTTTCTAACTTTATGTCAATGTGTCTAATTATTTAAGTTTTATAAAATAGTATATATATGATTAAAGTAGAGAAAAGCATGCATGAACTATTCTCTGTTTTATAACAGAGTTCATACTTTTGATTAAACTCAGATAGCACAAAATCTCTGGAAGATGTCCTCAGGAGGACATTCTCAGGATGTAAGAACATTCTGAAAATGTTTTTAGGATATCTTGTGAAGATTTATGCTGTTTTGGTTTAATCAAAAGCATAAAATCTGTTATAAAGCAGAGAATAGTTATATTATGCATGCTTTTCTCTGCTTTAATCATACATACTATTTTGTAACACTTAAATAAATAAATTAGACACGTTGACATAAAGTTAGAAATCGTTAGAAATTAGACATTGGGTCGTTCCTCCTTGATGAAGCGGACTGAAATGTTTGCGAAACGTCAGAATTAAACAAAGATGAATCCACGCCGCTCAAATCTGGAAACCAAATCTAATCTTATAAAGTTAGAAAGTTTTATGATAAAAAAGTTATCACTTCCTACTCTTTTACCGACATCATAAAACATTAAAATAAAAGAAACAAGAAAATAAAAAATGAGCAACAATTTTTGTTTTCAGAAGTCAATTCAACGTCCTAAAATATACAAATTTAAAAAGTTTGAAAAAATCCAAGATGAGAGCGTTATACTGTATATTTATCTTTGACACTTTTACATTTGACATCTCTCAGACAACAATGTCTAAAATCGGGACATAAGATGTCTTAAAGATCATCTTTAAGATGTCTTTCAGACGATTTACGTATAAATGTCTTTAAGGCGTCTTAAAAATTATCTTTAAGACGTCTTATGTCCCGATTTTAGACATTATGTTGTCTAGGCTGTTGCATACTGGACTCTCTTTAGAAAAAAGAGCTGTCGTTGAATCTCGCTCATTCACGTTCAGTGTGCAACAGGCATTAGATGGAAAAGTGACATTCCTCTTTTATGTTTCTTCCTATCTAGTTATCGAAATAAAAAATTAGCTGAATAATAAACGATCAGATAATTCAGATATAACGCAAACTATGACTATGACTACTAAAACTAATGTATTTTGATCTGATAAGCAGCTTCATTAAAGCTTAATGTAACATTGGCGATCAATCAAGAAAATGAATCAAGCAATTTGAAATTATTATAAGGTCGCCGCTTGCGCGCATTCATGTCGCCGACAAAGTGCCTCGCAGTATTGCGTACGTAACCGCGTTCTCTCGTTTCATTCTGCTTGTGAATCCTGCGCATGGATATTGTTATGAGGTGCTTATGTGAAGGTAGACCTTGGACGGTAATAATGACGGTGCACAGAAAGCACATTTGCTCCCATTCAATACAAATATCGCGCATGCACTGCAATGGTGCACAAATAACCATGACTTAAAAAGACTGCAATTTTACGTTTATAAAAATGTGATTAAAAGTGGCGGGCCTGTGTAAGAGACTTAGTACGCTAAATAACTTTATAAAAAAGAATTATTTGTCTAAGTATTCATTTGATTATTTATTAAAAACGCACACCAGAATGCTTGATAAAGAGCGTTGCCTTGATCGTATTGATCGCGCATACCATCGCGCACTCCGCTAATCGTTACGATAAATATTATTAGACGACCTCTCGTAGTCGCGTAGCTCACTCTTGACGATCTAACAGAAAAAAAATTAGAAAGAGACCGAGCAAAGTTTCACCGTGCTTCGCGTCGATCGCGCGTCGGCGAGATAATTCGCGTCTAATGAGAAACGCACCTCGCGGATGAACTCATCGCGCGGCGTTTCGCAAATTTTTAGCGAACGTACGAGCGAACACGCCTCATTCGTACGGGAAAATACCGACAATTTCTCAAGCGTGACTTACGTGCGTACAATGGAAATGCGAAAGAACGTTCCCAGACAGCACATATCTCCAATGGATGTCTTATGTCCTGAAATCGTCCTCAAGACGTTCCTTAAAAAGTCCGTGCTGTCTGAGTCATAAAGAAATTATACCGTCGACTAATTTTAGCGAGTGCACGCATACACTGAGAGAAAAAATATCTAAGGAATAAAAATATATATATTTGAGGTGAGTATTAGTAACATATATTTACTTTTACTAATATAGAATATTTTATGATGAACTGCATAAGATGCAGCTGATATTAAGAGAGTATATTGCTGAGTTCGATTTAAGCAGAAAATTTCATTGAAATTTTATTGAAATTTATTTTATTTTTTATTTATTTTTCATTTCCTTCCTTTTTTATTGAATAAAAGTAAAAATCACATTACTCAAATTGAGACGCACCGCGACCTAAAATAAACAATAGCTGCACCAAGAAGAACCTAATGTTCACTGACTCTCCTTGCAAGTTTTTATTAAATAAGATTGTAACTCAATTCTTAGCTCTGAACGTTTGTATCCAGATAACTATCGCATATTTTATCCACATTTACATAGGAAGTTCTTTGCTTAAATTGATTCCAAGAACACGATCTCTTAAGGTGACTTTTTATACGCAATGTGCAGCCGCAGCAGTTCGCTGTTATTGGTTAAAATTATTTCATAAGATGACGTATTTCCCACGCGAAATATATTTTACAACAGATCGCGTTGTTGTTTTGAAGTTCAACCGGACGAACTTTTCTGCAGCAAAGCCAGGAGATCTAGCAATCTTAATTGCTTTGTGCAATATAATATTAACGTATTATAAAGAATATAAGGAGAGAATGGAATTGAATGAAATATAAAAACATGTTTATGATTAATTAATTGTTTTCAATATATAGTAATAAGATGTATGATAGTAAAAGTCATAACTTCAGTTTTTTACTTGTTCTACTTTTTAAGTTACTTAATGAGAAATGACATCTAATCTATCATATAAAAATATTCTAGGAATATTCAAACATTCTCTGAAATTATTCTATGAATGTTCATATAACGTATTTGTGCTGTCTGGGATGTTGACTATTAATTTATCTTTCTGTTAGATAACACTTGTTAATATTTGTGAAATTTGCGAAGAGATAATAGAAGAGTCGTTAATTTTCAGGTTAACATACTGCTGCTGTTATTTCTTTTCATGAGCAGCAAATGTAGCGGAAGTTGATCTATAAACTTTGAATCACATGACATTTTTGTTGCCGCAGCGTGTTGCGCATGAAAAGGCGCCTTTAGAATGTATAATTTGTCATGGAAGACAACCTGTGTAAAATATTGTTCAAATAAGAAAATATATATTTTCTTAGAATTCCGTTGAAATATTAGCTTTTTATGAAGGCAACGGTTTACTTTATTTAAGTAATTATATTATTATTACCCATCGAGGAAATGTTTTTTGTTTTTCAGATATTCTTCTCTCTCAGGGTCTGTGTCCCCCGACGACGACGGCCACGACGAAATCTTAAATCTTAATAAACGTCGATCGTTCTCGTCGTTTTTCGACACTACTTGAACCTCATCTCGTTTTTATCTCACTGTCTGTGAGATTCGCTTACAAAAGTAATCCGGCAGTCTCGCCGTCGCATCGCCGCGACGACGCGATCTTTATGACTTTACGATCCCTGACCTGGTCTCTTTTTGGCAGACGCGACGAGACAGACGCTCGAGCGCACGCGACGCCGACGTTCACCTGCGTTTATCTCGTTGCAGCGTGTTCAATCGACCGTGTGATAACTCCATTACGTAATCAATGTTTACGATAACGGCCGCGCACACCGGCCGGTCGCCGGTAGTCCGTCGACGGCTCGTTAATTGCAGCAACAATTAACGACGGTGATATAAGAAGGTGGCTATAACTGAAAGTGCAAAATCAGTTCCCGTCGATGCCAAGTAACGTTCGCTTTATCGTCGCGTACTTCGCGTTAGTCTCATCGGAGCGAGCGAATTCGAGGAGGAGCGATGAAGGAGACGCCACACGTTTCACGGCAGCTCTGCAAAAAATTGGTCATATCGTCCGCGACCGATTCCTCCTCCGCGAAGAGACACGAGCTGAAGGTTTCTTCTTTTTCTTCTGCTTTGGGAAAATCGCCTCCAACGCGTCCTCGTTAAGGGGACTTGGAAAATGAGCGATCAGCGACTTGGAAAATGAGGAAACCACGAGACAACAAAAGTCGAGGCACGTGATAAGTGCAAAAAAGGCGCGAGGCGGTGCACGCTACTAAGTGCAGGTAAGCAATCGGTATCTAATCGAGATAGAGACTATAATTTTACTCGACTTCGCGGGATTTCTTGACCAATCCGCGATCGACGTCGACGAGTGGGATAGATCTCGTTCTCGAGTTACAAACGCAAGGAGCGCCCGGTACTTTTATTTGATCCGCAGGCCTGCAGACTCGCGGGTGGTCTCCCAGGTGAGATCAACGGCGCGCGGGTGTTTACGGATGAAGCGTTGGATCGTCCTGATAAAAAACTGTCCAAGTTCGCGCGAATTAGAATCGTGGGTGAACCTCGTCTGGAATACAGTATCCACGTTATCGTCGCGAAAACAGAGTAGGCCTTGGGAGATTTAAACGGGAGCGCATAGAAGCGTGAAGAACCCAATCGCGTGGGAGGGATAACGATAGTCTTTACTCTTTCTTTGTTCTTTTCTTTCGGGTAGAGTGTCGTGAGATCGTTAGTTCGGATCTTGGTATCTTATCGCGAAGTATTTGCGAGCGAAGATAGGGTGAAGATTGCTTCCCTCCGGGAGGAGGATTACTCGGAGATCCTGGCTTGAGACCTACGACCGAAGAGTTCGGGGGACAGTTTCGTACAGCGATTAGTGCCGCCATATCGTCGTGGGAGAGAAATAATTCTTCTTTTTTTTTTTCGTGATCACCGGGCTCTCTTTATAGTTTTTCTTCTTCCTCGTATATCACAATTTCGCCGAGATGTCAAAAGTTGAAGATCACGTAAGATTTCCTTGGATCTTCATATGTAACGATCTATATGTGTTGATGTGTGTGCATATTCCCGCGGGGATCGCTATTTTTAACTGAGTGCATTCGCGAAAGTCACGGATTTCTCTTTTCAGAAAGAGAATGGATACACCAACGAAGCTTTCCAGCTGGAGGACACTTTGCGTTACGACGCCAAGGAGACTATTCCACCCGATCGGAAGGAGCAACCCGAAAAGCCAGTGCGTATCGGGTCGAACCGACGTTGAATATCACGTTGAATATGAATTTTGAATAACTCATTATCGACCGTCAGACAGCAGCAAAGGCAGCCGAATGGGGCGGGAGACTGGAGTTCCTGATGGCCTGCATAGCCACTTCCGTCGGACTCGGGAACGTGTGGCGGTTTCCGTTCACCGCCTACGAGAACGGAGGTGGTGCCTTTCTAATACCTTACATCATAGTCTTGATTTTGGTCGGGAAGCCGTTCTACCTTCTGGAAGCTCTTCTGGGCCAGTTCACCAGCAAATCCTGCGTAAAAACGTGGTCGATGACGCCGGCTATGAAAGGTAAAACGATCTACCTCGAGAGGCGACTCTTCCGCTCCTTGTTCCTCACGTTTCTTCGAATGCAATTCAATTTAACAAGCAGAATGATTCGAATTCAAGTGACTTTTCATTTACAATTCTCGCAAAGATCGAATTTTTGCATAGATGATTTTCTATGCTGAATCGTCGAGTGAATATTTTCCCTTGAAATTGAAGAATATTTCATATAATCCAATCTGATGTATTCCACAGGAACAAATTCTTTCTGATTGTTCGAAATATCCGCTTGTCGAGGATCCACAAATGAAACTGGAGATAAACATTTGCTCTGAGGACATCTTCGCGATCACTTCGAGTGAATGTTTGTCAATTTCTAAATCTTTTTAAATCTTTATATTTTCAACTCTTTAAATCTATTTAAACACTCCGGGAAATGCAAAAAGCGCGTCTCTCAGATTCCGCGTTTCTTCTTGCTCTGCTCTTCAGGTTTGGGATACGCTCAGGCCTTCGCCGCGTTTTGCGTCGTTTCGTACTACTGCTCCCTGATGGCATTGACTCTATACTACTTGGTGGAGAGCTTCCAGAAGCAGCTGCCGTGGTCGGTCTGCCAGCCGGAGTGGGAAGGTAACTGCTTCGACGTATCGTCGAACAGCAGCTCCAACGACCCCAACGTCACCCTGAGAAGTTCCGCGGAGTTGTACTTCCTGAAGGTGGTGTTGCGGGAATACGAGTCCATCGAGAACGGCATCGGCACGCCGTCCTGGCAGCTGTCGATATGCCTGTTCTTCAGCTGGGCCTGCGTCTTCGGAGTCCTGTCCCGCGGCGTCAAGAGCACCGGCAAGGCCGCCTACTTCCTCGCGTTGTTCCCGTACGTCGTGATGACGGCCTTGCTGATCAGAGCGGTTACTCTCGACGGCGCCGTGGACGGCATCCTCTTCTTCATCACGCCCAAGTGGGACGTCCTTTGGAAGCCCACAGTCTGGTACGCCGCGATCACTCAGTGCTTCTTCTCGTTGTCCGTGTGCTTCGGGCCGATCATCAACTACTCGTCCTACAATAATTTCGGCCACAAGGTGGACAGGTAAGAGAGAGGCCTCAAGACTGGAAAAACTCGCGAAAGAATCATACTCTTTAAATTTCTTCGAGCAAAATTCCACTCTGAACAATAACGACAGCCGAGTCACTTGAATACTTTTCGTTCCTGTAGAATGAATTTTTTTACTTGGAATGAATATTTCTATATAATCCATTTGAGTGCACATTTTCATTTGAAATTGAAGATTGAGTCTAATGTAACCAATGATAAATAGCCAATAAGAGTTAAACAAATAGACGCAGGTTGCAACTGATTACAAAGGAATTATTGCAAAAGGATAATAACATCGACGAAAACTTAATCTAATCTAATCTGAATCTAATTCTCGATCTCGCAGAAACAAGAATTAAGCATTTTACGATTTCTTCGAATGAATTATCAGCTTCGAGCGAGACTTCACTCCAAAGGATTTAGAAAATTTTTCGAATTTTTCCTTCCAAATTCCCAAGTTTCAAATTCAGAGCATTTAGAAAACTAAAGGACATCTCACGAATTCGCTCATGTCGCTTTCAGGGATGTGATGATAGTAACCACGTTGGACACGCTTACGAGTCTGATGGCCGGCTGCACGATCTTCGGGATCCTCGGCAATCTTGCACACGAGATGAAGGCGACGGACATCTCGAAGGTGGTGCGCGGCGGCACCGGTCTGGCCTTCATCTCGTATCCGGACGCGCTATCGCGCTTCACCTTCGTGCCTCAGCTGTTCTCCGTGCTGTTCTTCGTCATGATGTTCGTCCTCGGCGTCGGCAGCGCCGTCGCTCTCTCTGGCGCGGTCTTCAGCGTCTTCCGCGACCACCTGCCAAACATGAGGCAGTGGCTGTTAGTACTCTGCGTCAGCTGCTTCGGTTTCTTCGTCAGTCTGCTCTACATCACCCCGGTAACGTTGAATTCTTTCGGAGGTCTCGATTTTATACACTCAAATGTTTCCACGAGTAACGGCGGCAGATTTTCCGTCAAGTTTCAAATCAAACGCGATTGCAGGGCGGTCAATGGATCGTGACGTTGGTCGATTACTACGGCGGCACTTTCGTCGCGATAATCGTCGGCGTCTTCGAGATGGTGAGTATCTTCTGGGTGTACGGCCTGAGCAACTTCCTCGACGACATGGAGTTCATGCTGGGTAAGAGGCTGGGGATTTACTGGCGACTATGTTGGCTCCTTATCACCCCTCTGCTCATGATTGTCATCCTGATATATACGATCGCCACTTACGAGCCACCCAAGTACAACAACTCGCGATTCCCAGATTACGCTTACGGTATGTGAAGCACTTTCTTCTTCTCCAGAATACCATGTGTCATACTCCGTCGGCGTGCAACGAAATTCTCGCCTTTCTGTTTCAGGAGTAGGATGGTTCGTGTTTTCCATCGGTATGTTCCCGATCGTTTGGTGGATCTGTCAGAAAATCATCGAGAACAGATCGTCGTGTCTTATAAAAGTAAGGAACTAGAAGTACACAATGAATGACTCGTTCGAAGTCGCGGACTAATCGTCGAAATTCCCAAATTGCAGTCTGTCAAGTCGGCCTTCCAGCCCGCGGCGGGTAAATGGGGCCCCAAGGATCCAAAGCTACACCGCGAATGGGAGGACTTCAAGGCGCAGAAGAGTTTCGTGGCCTCGAAATTCCAGTTTTCACGGGACCACTTGACAAAGATATTTTTTAAATGACTAAGAGAGAGTCTAGCTTATTATTTATATTTTTCTCTGTTATAAATAAAAGTTTCGAAGCGTGTCTGTCATCTATTCCAAACGAATCCCGCGATTCTGTTTGGCTCAGTAAGCAAGTCGCTCGTTTTGCGCGCCATATTTTAGTCGGCAGATGCACGGTTTCAGCAACAATTTGGCGGGAGGACGCATTTTCAAGAGGTTTCCATACGGAGAAAGAGAGCGATTTAACGAGGCAAAAATGTGTATACAAACGTCGAAGGTACAATGGCAGCACCGTAACTACCGTCACGCTTGTGTTGTCTGATTTATGTCTCCGTACTCGTGCCACGAGGACGTCGTATTGTGGAGGCTGTCGTTTTAATTGCGCGCGTGTGTAATTACATGGGCGACCACTAACGAGAGCGTAGTGTTATGTAAGAGTGGACAATCAAGTTTGCGTTACTTAAACGTAAGTTTTGTCCTGCTTACAATCGCTGTCTTATTATTATGCGACTTCAGGAACTGGTCGCACGTAACGTGTCATTATTGGAGATTCGCATGACTACTTTTTGTCCTGCCGATAGCATTCCTCGCGAATGAGCGAGAGCGCTCGCTAATTGAAATTGTTACTTGCTGACTTGCGACGGAGTTTTCAGTTGTATGCTTACACTCGCGACGAAGGAAGTCGAGTTTATATTACGCAACTGGCCGTCATTTAACGGAATTTGCAGCTCGGAAAGCCGCAAATCGTCGATCGCGCTCAACCCTGCTGTCTAAGGTACAATTAGTGTATTCCATTCACTGAGACGCCATACTTTTAACTGATAGTTCAGCTGAAAATCAGTTATGGCCTGCAATCAGTGAAATCTTACTTCTTAGAATCTACTTCTTAGTTCTTCTTAGATCTACTTAGAAGATCAATTAGTATCGGTGACTGTTCCTATTATCGATGCACTTTGCAAACGCGGACGTTGTCATCGCATGCAAGGCACATGAAAGCGGTCAGTTCCATCGCTACAAATGCAGAAACTTGGATTTCGTACAACGCTTAACGAATTTTTGCGCTACAGATTTTGCGGTAAAATCTTAGTTCCGTTGGTCAAAACTAGCAAAGCGTAAACGCAGTTTCGACTGAAAATCAGTGAATATACATCGATTGTCGATGAAGTACTCCTTCTACCGATTCAATCAAGAACATTTTTATTCATTTTTCCAATTTTATTGATTCTATTGATTTGATTGATTTTACTAATTTTACTGATTTTACTGATGTACTTTAATAGAATGTGGAATAGAAAATTATGATGACGTTAAGTGGCAAGAAAATGACTACGAAAACTCACTTTCTGATCATAATTCCCTCATCTTCATGTTATCACGATTTTCTGTTCCACCTGAGTGATTTGACCGATTCTGGTCGGCATGAAGACGCACGGGTTTTCCGTTTTCATTGATCAATTGATTTTCCATTTTAACTTTTAACTAAGATTTGTTTAGCCGGTTGATTAATATGTGTAGATAAACGAGCGATAACGCGAGGCAATAATTTTTCCGCGGCATTCCGCGTTGTATCGATCTGTCGCGGAAATTTATCGAGGAGAGACGTGAGCAGAATACCCCACGACTCAGAGTGTTGATCATCTTAGATCCGCTTCGAGACACAGACGGTAATGAGTATCGATATAATGACGAGAACAATTACGGCCGTTAATTGCCGCTCGTTTTCGACTCATCTTGTTACTGAATGTCATTCGGTTTAGTCATCTGTAAACGTTGACAGACGGCTTGAAGATTCTCAAACAGACGCGCGACGCGAAGATTCGCGTGTGAGCGCGAAGAATTATTTGAAAAAACTTTCGAGGGTCGCGCGAATCATCGCGCATCTACTTCGCCGCACTTTTCTTCGCGACGTACCTCGAGAAATTCGCTCACTATCAGATAAATCGGAATTCGCAAGTATTTGCCGTTTAACTTTCATTTCGTTGAAATCTAAATATGTATTATTTTTGCACGCATAAGTGTGCGATTTGGTTGAAGCTCTTATACGTCCCTTGCGACTTGAAATCACGTCATTTGACAGATTTGGGAGACGTGTAAATTATAATTTGAATGTGCTAAGTGACATGACTTCAAGGAAATGTAAGAAGAAATTCCGCCAAGATAACACACTTGGATTCGTAGTGAGAAAGTTGATATTGGAATTTTCCGGAATATATATGAGCTTCTAAATTTTAATTAGACCGCACGGCCAATCTGTCGCGACCATCGAATATTGCGACACGAGGTTTTTTCTACAAAGGAGGCCCGAGGTAGGAGGAAAAACCAGCACGAAGTTTGTATTGGATTACCGCGGTAACACGTGCGCGCGCTCTAATCTAAAGGTGGAAAGGATTGCGTATACAGATGGATAGCCGCGCGATTTCTTTAAGCAGTCCATCAAAGTCTGCCGGCCAGCTAAGACGCGCGCGAATTTTCGAAATAAAAAATCCGAGCGACGGGGTGAGGATCGCGCAACAGCGGTTACGAGTCAACCATGGGCTACATGAAGGTTCGTTTGCTCAAAGAAGTAGTGTGAAGATGCTGATGCCGCGCCGACGAAAAATATCGTCGTGAGAGCAAAGAAGAGTGAATTATTCAAAGCGGTATTCTGAATTTTTAGTAGCACAGAATTTTAACAACGGCGATTCTTCAGTGAGCAAGAGAGAGAGAAAGACCAAATGACAAGTAACTGATAAGTTTTTCATCTCCGAGTCTGAAAGGTTCTTCTTCTCCTGAAAGTAATTAAACGAATGCGTCTCTGCAATTTTGACCAATATAATTCGAGTATATAATTCGAGTGCGGCATTCCCCGATTTGCACATTGAAAGTGTGCGAAGAACTTCATCTGCGCATTGGTTTTTCTTGCGGTTTCGATGTCTGCAATATCCAATCGAAGATTGCGACATTGGGTCTAGAAAAACTAAGGCTTTTTACAAGCGAAACAGCAATTGGTATTTGCCGACAAATTGTTTTGGTCAATTGATTTTTTCTTGAACATAATTTATAATAATTATTTCTCTATGTGATTATATTTATATGTACAAGTACCAAACATTCTTTCTCAGTGCTCAGCCGATACGACACTTTGTAATGCTTTTTTATTAATTCACTAAAGTCCCTAGTTATTTATTAACAAATATTTTTTATTGAAATATGGAAGATCGATTTATATCAGAGAAATAGGAGGAAGAAAGAAAAGATAAGTATTTCAGATTAAAACATTAGAATTTCATTTTCATACGGAGAGAATATTATATAATAGCAATTAGTATTTGCCGACAAATTGTGCGATTGTGTAACGACAGTGCTTACTATTTGTGCGGCTGAATTCGCATGTTTGCGCGCAAGAAATTATCGCGTTCGTCCCGTAGGCGCGCTTGCACGTGGAATTTCATTCCGTATTCATTTGATTAAATAATCATAAATTCACCGTCATCACGTCAGAAGGTGCAGACAGAAAAACATCGATAATTAATAACTTACTGGGGTACCACCAAGTCTCTGAAGCAGTGTTTGCAATGCATACTTAATTAGTTGCTTATACAGACGCTCAGGAATTCTCACTTCCTCATTTCCACTTCAAAGTGGAGTATTCTAAAGAAGTATTGTTTTCCGATTATCAACTTTCTTGCAATGAGTTAATTAACTTATTGCAATGAGTTAATTAACTTATTGCAAAAAAAAAGGACGTACGATGCGTAAGTGTTTGTAATAGTTTTACGATAAGATAAAGCGACGTTCTTCATACTTCAGCAGTATTTCGCGGTTTGTCACGCGATAACAAAATCGTATCGAGTACGCACAATATTCCAATAAATTTATATAAAAATTTATATGAAAACTTCCAGGAAAATTTATACCATATAAATCGATCTTTCATATTTCAATAAGAAATATTTGTTAATGAATAACTAGAGACTTTAGTGAATTAATAAAAAAGCATTACAAAGTGTCGTATTGGTTGAGCACTGAGAAAGAATGTTTGGTACTTGTACATATAAATATAATCACATAGAGAAATAATTATTATAAATTATGTTCAAGAAAAAACTATTAAATTAAATTCTACTATAATGTTAGTGACGATAATCTTACATGCATATTACTATGAGTTTCGTGCTAGAAAAAAAATATAATTGTGAGGCAAAAAATAAATTTTAGTTAGATCAATGATTTTTTCTCTCAGTATAGGTGATGTAAACATTTGGCTTGTTACGCAAGTTAAATCTAATACAATGACGTAAAAAATGTTCACGTTCCTTCCGGTTTTTGCAAGACCAGTCAGCGTAAATATGAATGATATTTCCGATGCCGTGAAACGAGTAAATAAGGTCCTGCGAGCGACCGTACCACGATGCGCGCCTCGCGTCTGCGACACAGAGTGTGGCGCGTGTCAAACCATCAGAATATCTGATATGATTCCGGCGACATGTATCACTTTTACGTAAAGCACGCAGTAATTGTGTAGCTCGTACAATTTTTGAGAACGACCTGACCAAAGAGCGTGAATGATTCAATACGGTCACAGCCCGCGGTCGACTGTCCGCGTGAATTCAATGAAAGTGATATCTTTACTTTATGTTACGCTTTTGTGTTATGAAAAAAATTGTCCAGATAAGAAATGATTCATTTCGCTTCGCTCTGTCGCAGAATCACGTTGACGATAAGGACGAGAGACCCGTATTCAAGGTATCCCTTCCGTCGGCCGACGAGCTAGAGAATAGGGTGAGTTCTAACGGAAGTGACGTCAAAACCCGCACGAAGGATCACACCTGAGCGAGCTTGGTTTTACAGTGAAACACAAAAATCGGCTAAAAAGAACCAAGTCTCGGGGCTATGGAAATGTTATACAGATTATAACGTAATGAAATTGAAAAAAAATCGCGTCAAATCACAATCTGAAACATTTCAACACAATTTAGCCAATAATCTTTAACAAAAATATAATTATATCTATGATATAAATGTCCTTCCAACTACCAGTAAATACTGTAATAGTGTCAACTTCGTGATTGCCTTGTTAAACCAAATTTTGAGCTCGCTTCACGCAAATACGTAATTAAAATTTCACTGAAACTTGCTGAAAGAATAAAGGCAGTTGGTCCACCACACAAAATCCCGAAACTGAGTTCATTTAACTCGATTTGAATTGCGTCGGCTAATCTTCTCTCGTAATGTGGAATATACACTCACCTCACAGGTCTCATCTACGATCAGAGAGCAAGACGAGGAGGCAGGCCAGAAGAGAGCGCAATGGGGAAGCAGCTTGGAGTTCCTTATGTCCTGCGTGGCCTTCTCCGTAGGTCTCGGGAACGTCTGGCGGTTTCCATACACGGCATACCAGAACGGCGGCGGCGCCTTCATCATTCCCTACATAGTGGTGCTCTTCATCATTGGCAAACCCTTCTACTACATGGAGATGATCCTCGGTCAATTCACCAGCCGGTCCTGCGTGCAAATTTGGTCCGTGTCGCCGGCGTTCCAAGGTACTCTCGGTGACTATGCTCGAAACGATCGATCCTGGGTAAGCGGTGCCAGGGGATCGCCGTTTGGGACACCCCTTCGCAGGACCCAGATCGGGTCGCGAATGTATGAAAATGGATATTAATGCGGATTGCTAGGTATCGGCTACGGCGTCACGGTGTCGGTCTTCTCCGTCATCACTTATTACTGCGCCCTCATGGCTCTGACGCTCTTCTACATGGTGGCCAGCTTCCAGTCGGTGCTCCCGTGGGCCTTTTGCTGGGAGGAATGGGGCAGCGGCTGCTTTGACAGCTCGGCGGCCAGCGGAGCGGTGAGCAACGACAGCAGAAGTTCCGCGGAATTCTACTTCAGGTACGGAAATTGACGTACCTGGAAGCAACGCAATCATTATTAATGTTGGAAAGTCAGAACGTTCAAATCGGTTTTTAGATGAAATTTCACCAAATTTTACAAGGGAGACACGAAATGTTCTCCTTGTCACGAAAAGTGAGAAATTCTCGACGATCAGAGCACGTTTTCAGGATGTTTTACGTCTATTCTTACAATGAGAAACAATAGCAAGTGTTTCACAGTGTTCTATTTTGGCTGCAGGAATTTTTTTCTTGTCGCGAAAATTGGGGAATTAGAAAATCAGGACACGTTTCAGGGTGCCTTCTACGTCTTTGTATTCGTGTTTCTGCCGCGCTGGTCGTCATTATTGCGCCTTCGATGCATTGACGTGCGCATTACAGCTTATCAAAAGTCCTTCACGGTCGCGCTCGGTTATTTTCACAATTCTTACCTCGCGAAATCCATAGGAATCAGAATCCGCTTATTATAACTTTACGATGCCCGCTCGGTATCCTGACGCGGTAACAACATGATAACAGTGTATAACGAACTTTATTGCATCGCGAGCATTATCTCTCCCGCCAGGTTGTTATCTTTATTTCCGTGTAATTCTTCCGTTTATCCCACCTTTTTTCTCCCCTTGTTCGTCGATCCTACAGGAATCTCAATTCGCAAGATAGAACTAATACTTTTGATACATTTACATTTAGAAAATTCGTCCTGAACGAGACGGGAATTGAAGATGGGCTCGGATTGCCCTCGTGGAAGCTGGTGCTGACGTTGTTGGCCAGCTGGCTCTTCGTCTACGTGGTGATCTGCAAGGGCGTGAAGAGCACCGGTAAAGCGGCCTACTTCTTGGCTCTCTTCCCTTACGTTGTGATGATCAGTCTGCTGATCAGAGCCGTAACGTTGGACGGAGCAGTCAATGGTATCGTCTTCCTCTTTAAGCCCGAGTGGCAGAAAATCTTGGATCCGGCGGTGTGGTACGCCGCCGTTACTCAGTCTTTCTTCTCGCTCGGTGTATGCTTCGGGGCTGTGACAATGTACTCCTCGTACAACAACTTCGAGCACAACGTGTCCAGGTGCGTTGTACCTTCGAATTCGTTCGAGGGAGACGTAATTTTGTAGCTGAAAGTGAAGCGAGCGAGTCAAAATATTCGGTTGAAAGTTAATTCTCGTGAAAGTTAACTTCTTCACATTCAATGGAAACGAATGTTGCAAGTGAGATAAGCACTATTGCGATTAGCGGGACTCTTGCAGGGATTGCACGATCGTGACGAGCCTGGATCTCTGCACCAGTCTAATGGCGACCACGACCATCTTCGGGATTCTGGGCAATCTCGCACACGAAATCGGCACTGAGGACATCCAGAGTGTCGTACGTGGCGGGACGGGTTTGGCATTCATGTCTTACCCGGAGGCCTTGGCGAAGTTCACGGTGGTGCCGCAGCTCTTCGCCGTGCTCTTCTTCCTGATGCTCTTCGTGCTGGGTATCGGGACCACCGTTGCCTTCTGCAACGTCATCATCAGCATTATCAAAGATCAGTTCCCGCATCTGAAGCTGTGGATTATCGCAGCTGGTCTCTCCGTCTTCGCCTTCTCAGTTGGCATTGTCTACTGCACGCCCGTGAGTTTTACGAAATTGCTTGTATTATTATTCGATTTATCTTCACAAATAAGTTGGGACAAGGAGAATTAATTAAAATAATAATCGGGATTCAAATGTATCTTTTAGTTTCTTGAAACTTAATGACTTCGCGAAATAATTTGGTTAAAAAAATTCTCTATCAGACCTTATCAGATTCTTGATAAAACTAAATAACTTTCACGTTATTCGAGGAAGAAAATGAAGTCATCTCGAGGGAGAATTATCGATGAGAGCGTAACTATTTCTTTTCTTATCAAAACAGGGTGGACAATACATCCTCAACTTGGTGGATTACTTCGGGGGAACTTTCGTTATTGTGTTCTTAGCTTCATTCGAGATGATCGCCATCGCCTGGGTATACGGTAACAATTTTTATTCCACTTTCTGCATTCCACGACCGCGAGATCGTCTGTAGTAATCTGAGCGGTTTCCCAGGTATTGACAATTTCATGGACGACATCGAGTTCATGGTAGGGCAACGGCCATCCTTCTACTGGAGGTTTTGCTGGTGTTACTTGACTCCGCTGTCGTTGTTCACCATTTTAATTTATTTCCTGATCAGTATGACGCCGCTTATGTACAACGACGAGTATTATCCTTCGTCCGCATACGGTACTGACCTTAATTCTAAACCTTTACAATCGAGGAAAAAATCTCATGTATTACGAATATTTTCTCATATTTTGCAGTCGCGGGCTGGACGCTTCTGGCTTTGGGAGTTCTTCCGCTCCCGCTGGGCATGATTATCGTCGGAATTCGGAATAGGAGCGAGGAATACACAAACGTAATTCACTTGCACTTTTTATTCCGAGAAAATCTCAGCATAAATAACTTCTCGTGATAAAGCTAATAGTAAAATTCTCGTCTTACAGATTTTCAAGCCGAGCGCCGACTGGGGACCGAAGGACCCCAAGAAATACAACGAATGGAGAGACTTCAAACAGTCCAAGAGGATAGAGCGAGCGTGCGCGAATAAGTCGAAAGTTATCGCGGCGTTGTTCGGCAAAAATTGACAATGAAATGATTAAAACAGTATTAAAATTATTACTCAGGTGTATATATATGTGTGTGTTTGTGTATGTGAGTTATTTGGCGTGACGTCGATTGGGGCGATCGATGAGTAACGATTACATTAACAATTTCCGAATGACATCGGCGGCTCTTTGTCGCGCGTTCGCACGCAGTATATAAAATTACACTAAGGTGGTTATCTTGGGCGGAAGCTCGCGATTCAGTTGCGCGGTTTAATTACGAGGAACTTCGCGGTATAATCCGGTAAAAAATGAAGAAATATACACATAAATATATTTGTCTCGGTCTCATCAGTCGCGGATCTTGCCATGGGGCCCGCCGTGGCAAACAGATTAGAAAGAGACACTACGCGCGTCTCCGAATTAGCGGACGATCAGTGCCGCTTTCACTTTGGTTTCATGCTCAGGAGGACGTAGAGTGTCTGCTTCCAGCGCGGCTGGGTTCTCTTCTCCCGGGCTCTCGCTCTCTCCTCTTTGAATATATTCCAGTCCTTCCGCTGCTGCACTTCCCGCGGACCAAACCTGGTCGCGGGTGCGAAAGCCTTTCTCACCATCTTGAACAAACACGACGACAATTTACAATAGTTTGGAACCATTTAATTAAGGTAATTTGCATTCGTTATGATTTGACGATTTTTCAGTTTGGCCTCTCTCTCTCTCTCTCTCTTCCTTTCTCTTCCGCCACGGTCAGCTTACCTGGGGAAATGGTAGTTCCCAGTTCCTTAACATCGCTATCAGCATCCACAACGGTATCTGAAGCACACCCACGCCCAGCAGTATCCATCCGGCGGCGTGCGCGGACTCTGGCAACGATCTGTCGCCGTAGGTTAAAGGCGATAAAGTGGCTACGGTGTAAATAAAGATTATCATTAGCAGCAACGGCGTCACTATTAACCAGCATATCCTCCAGTATACGCTCGGCTTTCTATCCAGCATGAATTCCAGGTCGTCCAAAAAGTTCTCGAAACCTAAAACGATGAGGGATCAACGATATCGATATCGATATCGACCATATTCAAATTATTGTCTACAATGAGAACGGTAAAACTCTTACCGTAAACCCATATCACTCCAGTCATCTCAAACGACGCCAAGACGAACACCACGAACGAGGTACCGTAGTAATCCACCAAAGTCAAGATAAACTGACCGCCCTGCGAGACAAATTCGTTCTTTCATTACAATAATTTCTCTCGATATTTCAAAGCTAACACTAATTCTCACTTGTGCAATTCATTCTGTTATTGTTCGTGGAACAATAACAGTAAAATTCAAAGTTTCTATCTCTTTTGGCAAAACAGAACACCTAAAATACTCGACTGATAGCGACTTCAAATCGTCAGTTAACTTAATCAAAATTCGCTGTAAGTTTCCTTTGTACTAACCGGTGTAACGTAGACAGTGCCGATCGAAAAGCCCAAGAAACACGTTGGAATTACAATCTGCCAAGTCTTTAGAGACGGGAACTGCTCATTTATCACGGTGATGATTCCCGTGCACATTCCCACGGCACTACCGACACCGAGGACGAACATCATCACGAAGAAAAGCACGGCGAACAACTGCAACGAAGAATCGATTGCTTTATATTTGGAGGAAGAGACATTCAAGCCATTTTGAGATATCAAACACGCATTAAGCGCAGCGTTCATACCTGCGGCATGAAACTGAACTTCGCTATGGCGTCGGGATAAGATACGAAGGCCAAGCCGACGCCGCCTCTGACCACATTGGATATGTCTTCCACACCCAACTCGTACGCGAGATTGCCGAGAATACCGAATATCGTGCAGCCAGCCAATAAGCTCGTGATTGTGTCCAGCGAGGTGATAATCATTACGTCTCTGAGATCACAAGCAATCAGCGTATGAGTCAGTGAATATTCTCAGTTTGCCCCGAGGAAACTGAGTAGAACAGCGGAAATATTTGTATACTCACCTGTAGATGTTATGCTTGAAATCATTGTGGGCGGAGTACGTGATGATGCTGCCGAAGCAGACGGACAACGAAAAGAAGCACTGTGTCACAGCGGCATACCAGACGGTCGGCTCCAAGAGCTTTGACCATTTCGGGGTGATGAAGTATAAGATCCCGTCCATCGCGCCATCCAAAGTGACGGCGCGTATCAGGAGGGATACCAGCACGATGTACGGGAAAATAGCGAGGAAGTAGGAGAACCTGCCGGAGCTTTTTACACCTTGGGCCAACACCAGACAGATCGTCGCCCAGCTACCAAGCAGACATAACGTCAGCTTCCAGCTCGGCAGTCCGATCCCGTCGTCGATGCTCTCTTTCTCATGCAGAACCACTTGTCTGTGAATTGTTATCGGATTTCGGGAACAGGTCTTCGATTCTCGAGAATAAACTTTTTTCAGGGATATTGACACATACGTGCAGATATATCCAATTTTTCTATTTTAAATAAAACATCGTTAAGAGACGAGAATATAAAGAAGTGAATAAACCTTTGTATAATCCAACAAGAAAAAGAAAAATCTCATCACAAAATATATCACTTTAAAATTAAATCATTTTTTTCTAGTCCTAGTATAAAAGACATTAAATTCATTCCTGATAAGATTAAAAATCTCATCACAGAATATGTCACTTTAATAATAAATGAGTTTTAATGTCACTTTAAAATTAAATCATTAAATATTCATTAATGTCACTTTAAAATTAAATCATTTTTTTCTAGTCTTAGTATAAAAGACATTAAATTCATCCCTGATAAGGTTAAAAAGCGAGATGAAACTCACGAGAAGTACAGCTCGGCCGAGCTCTGACGTTGAACGTTGCTGCTGAGATGACTGCTAAAGATCTGTGTGAGCGTCGCGTTTCCTTCGGCCACACTGTGGTTCCTCTTCATGCTCGAGTCGACGCAAGTGTCGCCCCATTCCTCCAGACAAGTAGCCCAGGGTAGTTCGGATGAGAAGGACGCGATTAAGAAATACAAAGTCAATGCCATCAGCGAGCTGTAGTAGGTGGTTAACGCCATCGTCGAGCAAAACTGCGCCCATCCGACTCCTGTTGTAACAAGTATCTATCTTCAAATGGAGATGAGCACTTTAAACGCTATTTAAAAGCCACTTGGTCGATAGAAACCAGTAGAAATCTGTTTACATATTTATATATTGAACATAAAATATGTTTAACGAAAATCTCGAACTCTTTTCTCAATATATACTCAATATATGATAGTACTAATTTTTGATCGATCCGTTTCTCTCGCGGGGAAGTTATACCAGAAGAGGAATTACCCACGAAACCCGGTGACATGGCCCAGACCTTGACGGACGAATTGCTGGTGAACTGTCCTATTATCATCTCCAGGAAGTAGAACGGCTTCCCTACCAGGAAGAGCAGGATCACGTAGGGTATGAGGAATGCACCGCCGCCGTTCTCATACGCCGTGAACGGGAATCGCCAGATATTGCCGAAGCCGACCGACACGGCGATGCAAGACATGAGGAACTCGATGCTGTTGTTCCATGTCGCCCGCTCGTGTTCCTTGCCGGACGACTCGACGGCCTGCACGTCGAAGCTCGTCGAGTCGCCGGAGAGATACGCCTTCCCGACATGAGGCTCGTCTAACTGGAAGGCGACGTTGTCGAGGCCCTGTTGCTTGCGGTCTTTCTGTAATGCAAATCACGTAGATTTTATTTGCGACGCGCCGACGTAAACACAAGTTGCGAACGAGATCGTCGTGTTCGGTTGCAAAAACCCGCGGCGAAAATACAGGTCAATGCGAACGGGTTCGCGATCAGAGAAGGAATTCGCATTTCTCACCAGGTTGGCTCAGAGAACGCGACGACTGATTATCGAGGACATTCGTCCATCCTCGAAGTCGATTATGCGCAATTAACGATTATAGACGCGATAACGACGATATCGACGTTCGCACGACCGATCAAGCGTGAAAAAATCCAGCTAGAAATTTTTTTAAAATCGTCGCATTTCTCGAAGGTGTTCGCGGAAAGAATTTCGACGCGAGTCACAGAGATATCTCTCGCGATAATTTTATTATCGCGAATTCTCCTGCGCGAAAATCCCGCATAGATTGCACTCGGTAAAGCAAAGTCGCACTCCATTCTCACTCTAGAGATTACGTTCTTCTTGCTCAGCATTGTTTGTCACATCGGAATATCGACGTGATTAGCTGTTTTATAGCCTTTATCTATCTCGCGGATACAGCGGTGCGCGCGAATTCAAGCAGACCTCGAGTGCGACGGAGCGGTAGGCTTTCTTTTTCGGTTGTACTCCGAGTCAACATCGCGAGATCATGTCGATCGCATTTAGAGTGACTTTCACTTATCGTTCGGGACGCGTAAACGACAGAAAAGAAGCAAGCGGAGTGTCTTTCTCTGCTGCGGCGCGCTGCGGTAAAGAGCAATTGCGGCAAGAACGCCGCGAGAGAGACACACTTGCGCGTTCTGTCGTTCAATCTGCATAACAATTATTATGCACGATAATTGTTTGCCGACGGTAAAGCGGCCGGAACGCCGCACACACACACACACACATGACACACTTCCTTCGATCGACTGTCACGGCTCATCAGCCTGATGTTTTATAATGCTAGTGCACGCCGTTTATGCTTCTCGAATCGATCACTTACCGCCTCGTACATGGTGAGAACGATCGCGAGGTAGACACTGCGAGGTGGAAATCGGGGACAGTCCCCCGCCGAATGTAGGAGTACTCGTCGAATGTATCGCGGAGACGCGAGATCGGAAGCGATGAGGACGACGACGATGAACGTGCCGAAATCCGCGAAGTACTACGATCGCAGACGCCACCGGCGACGAAGACCGACGGGCGCGGGCGACGAGCGGTTCACTACCGCACGAATCTCAGGGAAACGCATTGATAAACCTGTGACTATCGCTGTACCCCCGCGGTGTCTGGCTAGGTGGGTGACTGACAAAACGCGGCCGGCAGAAGCGACCGGCCGACCGTCTAATCGGCGAGTAGTTGCTAGGTAGGAGAGGCAGGTGAATCACGCGAGAGAGAGAGAGAGAGAGAAAAAGAGAGAGAGAGATATATATATATAGAGAGAGAGAGAGAGAGAGTAGAAGGCGAGAGGTCGCGAAAGGATAATTACGCGAGAGGAGTCGTGAGTCGAGGACAACTTGGAAATAGAACAGGTGGAACCTGCGTTCCACAGAGATCGGCGAGCGCGAGGTGAGGAATAAATTCGTTAAAAACAATACGATGACCTACCCGAAAGGATAGAAAAAAACATAGGATTTCCCGCTCGCGATTACGCCCCGTGACGCAGCGAGGAAGCCGCAGAAATTGGGACGGAGAATTTGAGGAAGGGATATCCCGGTGTTCGCGACAGGAACTCGACGTACGGCGAAATGAGGCGCTCCTTTTTGTACTTTCTTGAATGCGACCATCGTCGACACGTGCGTCAGTTGGATGTCGTCACATGTTGCTTACGTACGTGCAATAACGTAGCGGCAGGGAAAGGATTGACCGGCGCAGGTGTAGAGATGAAGAGAGAGACGGAGAGAGAGACAGAGAGAAAGCGGTGGGGTACTGAGAGGGAGCAAGAACAGGAAATGTGCAATGCCAACGAGTCTATCTTGCGATTCCGGGTAGATTCAGGGTTCAGAAAGGAGGAAACAATCTACTTGCCTGCGATAATTTGATGACATTACACTGAGAAAAATGTCTAGTATCTGTCGCTGTGATCACATGGAGAATTATGATCAAGGAAGTTATTTCTTTTAATTAAATTCTACAATAATAATAATAACAACCTTATATGCGTGTCGTTACTATCATCCTCTTGTTAGAACAATTAAAATATAAGTAACTATAATTGTAGTTGAGCCAATCATCTTTTCTTCTCAGTGCAACGTCCATCTGTTCACGCACAGCAAAAATAATTCTGTTAGTGTAATTGAATTTTAGAGGAAAGCTAGGTTGCAGGAACAAGAAGAAATTCAGAAGTGGAAGGTTTTCTACTCAGTTAATTGCGCTCTCAATTATCTTAATCGAGTTTTAATGCAACCGAATGTTCGGACAAATATTTCTGGTCGTAATGACGAAAATATCTGTTTACGTCAGCGAAGTTTCGTGCGGTCTACATTCAGTTCACGAACTGACATGTTCTTTTCCATGCATCTACGTACGCATTTTAATTTTTCGTTCGCATTCAAAATTTGCATTCACGTCACAATTCCGCGATGATTAGTCGTCTCTTCTCTTCTCATTTACCTGCGCGTACTTATTCGACGAGAAACTTTTTCCTACGGATATTTGGAATTTGAGAGCTTTATTATTAGCTGAAATCACCGCTGGGGCCGACATAAGCAGCTGTACATCGACAAAATTGTTCTATTACGATTTTTTGTCGCGCCTCAGCACGTTTGATAAGTGACAGCGTCGCACGACGATCTATTGCGTGCGATGTGCTGTGTATCGCTCTATACAATTGTTAGGTGATATGGTTAGATTCACACGACATCGTGTGCCGTCAACAGAACTAACAGTTACGTGCCAAGGACAACTGGATTCGCATTATACGTGAAACAAGTAAGCGTGGAGTCACCTGTTTCACACAGGCGCGTCGTAATTATGCGTAATTACTTTTAAAAATTGTAATATTAAATCACAGATTATGCGACAGCGAACGTGATCAATTCGCTCATTGGCAATGTCGTCATTGAAACTATTAGCCTTTCAGAATCACTCGCAATAGACCTCTAAAGGAATTGTGACCTGCATTGTTGTTATTATTTCGCTGCTCCGCATCGCGGTGATCTCGGAACATCAGCCATTTCCTGCGATCCTCCGCGTCGCTCGGGCCCCACGATTTAAGTGGCTGCAAGGCTCGCTTGATCATCTAGAAAATAGATAGTACAAGATACATTACGAGCAATCGTGATTCACGATAAAGGTACGGTTTGCGCTTACTTCTCGGAAAGAGAGGCGTCTTTTCTTGAGTATCGCGATCACCAGCCACAAAGGTATCTGTAGAACAGCGATGGAGAACAGAATCCAACCTATGACTGTGCCAGAAGGAACACAGTAAAAGACTTTGATCTTCTTTTTTTTAAATATCAATATGTGCAGTTGACTCACCGTAAGCCGATACAGGATAGAATGTTTTGTTATACTTCAACGGCTCGAGATCGATGATTGTATATAGAAAGATGATAAGAATAATGCCTGGAGTGACGATGCTCCAACAGAGCCGCCAGAACACCGACAGCCGTCTTTCCAACATGAATTCGATGTCGTTTAAGAAATTGTCCAGACCTAAAATCGATTTCAATAGACAAAAAATATTTTTTTTAACCATTCTTGTAAATTAACTGGCACACTGAGAGATGAAACTTTGATATTTATGACTACAATTGCACGATAAAATAATTATAGTCAGGCGTTTGACAAAATGACTACAATTTACGGATGTACAAATTGCTGGCTAATAATTCTTTCTCTTAGTGCGAAGTATCAGTTAAACATTTGGACGTACCATACGACCACGCGACGGCGATCATCTCGAAAGCTGCCGGCACGAAGGCGATGAACGAGGTCACGTAATAATCGACGAAGGTCACCATAAACTGACCGCCCTGTAAGAAACGCTTGCGATTATGATCGACGAGGCAACAAGACTGCGTAATTTTCCTCAAAGACGGTTGTAAATTGACCCTTTTAGTGCCGACCGAAAAAATATACCCAAGCGTAAAATACCGGACCAAATTGATGTAGTTTGATAGGGTTTGAGAAAAAAAGTATAAAAATAAAAGTGAATAAATAATTCGCGACGCGGATAGTCCGGCAGCATCGTATGCGCAACGATATATCGTCGTAGGCACTTTTCGCAAGTGTTACTAACAACGATATATCGTTGTTCGGCACTATAAGAGTTAATTGAACCATAAACAATTACCGGTGTGACGTATATGAGACCGATAAGAAATTCGCAGAGGCAGGTGGCAACGGCTACGTGCCAATACTTCAGGCCTGGGAATTGGTCACGCACGATAGCGATGATGGCGGAGGTGAGACCGACCTCGCTGCCGATCCCCAGGACGAAAATCATCACGAAGAACACGACGCTGAAGAACTGCGGCGCGACGGTGAACTTGGCGATCGTCTCCGGGTACGAGATGAACGCCAACCCGGTGCCGCCACGCACGACCGCGCCGATGTCATCGTTGCCTAACTCGTGGCTGAGGTTACCCAGGATAGCGAAGATCGTACAGCCCGCCAGCAGGCTGGTGAAGGTGTCCATCGTCGTCACGATCATCGCGTCTCTGACGAACACAGATTGTAACCGTGAGGAGAAAAATGCCGCGTTTTTCCGATAATCGCTACTCTCTACATTTCTTCGAGGAAAATCTCGCTCTGAAACATTCACTCTTGCGAAGTGGCAATACTTTTACCGTTCTCGCTTCCAGTGAATTTCCTCTCGTTCACAGTGAGATTTTATCTCACCAACGATGAGCCTTTCAAGCCAAGATTTTACTCCGAGAAATCTAATGAACACCCAGGTAGAGCGTAAGCTTCTAAAGGGCGTTTTAAAACGCTTAAAAGATGTCTGAACAACATCTGAAAAAGTAGAACATCTTTTAGACGTCTTTCGTACATCTTTAAGGCGTTTTTTACAAGTCTCTGCTCCAGAAGAACTCTTCTCCAGGAGTCGCTACTAACCGATAGATATCGTGGTTGAACTTATTGTGCGAGGCGAACATGACGACCGCGCCGAAGCAGACGGTCAACGAGAAGAAGCACTGGGCCACCGCGTTATACCAGACGCTTGACGTCAACAGTTCCTCCCAGGTTGGAGTGATGAAGTATAGGATACCTGCGGCTGATCCCTCCAACGTGACGGCCCTCACAAGAAGCACGATCAGGACCACGTAGGGGAATATCGCCAGGAAATAGGCCGCCTTGCCGGAACTCTGCACACCGCGTATCACCACGATGAAGACCGTGAGCCAGCTGACGAAGAGCGCGATCGTCAGACGCCAATCCGGCGCGCCGATGCCATCGTCGATGTTGTCCTTCTCTCGCAGAACTTCCTTGCTACGGATGACACGGACGAGTGCACGGAGAGAATTTCATAGCAAAAATTCTTGTTATAATTAGATTATTATTATAGAAAATTCTTGTTATAATTAAATAATTTGATATTTGGGCTATAATTAAATAATTATAATAGAATTTTGTAACCGAATCAACATTCTGCACAGTAACTAATTATCCTTTTATTTCATACGTGATATTCATATATTAGGACCTTAACTTAGTTTCCGCCCGCAAATGTTAGATGGCAATGCAAACAGTTCTAGTAGTCATTACTAACGAAACAGGTAGTTTGTGATTAATTTCGACATTTCTCGATAACATTCAGTCAGCATACACAATTATTTTCCTAAACAACAATTTCTTTTGCTTTGTGAAAAATGGAACGCGATAAAGTGTTTTTTCGACATGTGCTTTTGCACTATTTTGATTTGAAAAAAAGTGTAGCAGAAGTTCATCGATTACTTGAAGAAGGTTATGGTGATCGAGCTCCATCACATACAACATGTAAAGAGTGGTATAGACGATTCAAAAGTAATGATTTTGATGTCAATGACAAACCACGCTCAGGACAGCCAAAAAAATTCCAAGACGATGAATTGCTAGCATTATTGCATGAAAACTCGGCTCGAACGTTACAAGAACTTGGAAACGAGCTAGGAGTTACTGAAGCAGCTGTTTCCAAACGTTTACACGCCATGGGAAAGATCCAAAAGGAAGGAAGATGGGTACCACATGAATTGTCTGAAAGTGCCATTCACAACCGTTTCAATATCACGGTTTCGTTGCTTGCCAGGCAAAAAAAGAAGAGTTTTCTGTGGCGTATTGTGACTGGCGATGAAAAGTGGATCTACTACGACAATCCCAAACGCAAAAAATCATGGGTAGACCCAGGACAACCATCAACATCGCAGCCAAAACGGAACATCCACGGTCATAAGGTAATGCTTTGCATTTGGTGGGATCAGCAAGGAGTGCTGTACTACGAACTGCTGAAACCAAACGAAACTGTTACTGCCGATGTCTACAAATGTCAATTGAACAAATTGAATGATGAGCTGTTGCGAAAAAGACCAGCAATAGCGAGTAACAGGCGCAAAGTTATTCTCTTACACGATAACGCTCGGCCACACACTGGAAAAACCGTCAAAGAAACACTGACGCAGCTCGAATGGGAAACTCTTCCTCACCCAGCGTACTCACCAGACATAGCGCCTTCTGATTACCACTTGTTCAGATCGATGCAGCACGGCTTGAGTGGTACACGCTTCCGAAATGTTGAAGAAGTGCGAGAATGGGTGGACGAATGGATTGCTTCGAAACAAACATCGTTTTATCGAGATGATATCGCCCAGTTGCCAGAAAGATGGCAAAAAGTTGTAGAAAGTGATGGAAAATACTTTCATTGAAATAATTTAAATAAATTTTTTACAATAAATGCTTTTCCTCAGTATTTTTTTGGCGGAAACTAAGTTAAGGTCCTAATATTTATGAACGCGAAAACGTGCTGTTAAAAGTTTTACTATGTTTCTAGTGAAATTTACTGTGTTCCTTAGCAAATAAAATAAATGATGACCTACTACCTTTCGCTATTAGAACATTAGCAAAATTGGAAAGAATTTATATGAAAAAAAAACTATAATATTCTCTTCGTGTAAATATTTATCGACAGCTACGAAGGCTACAAGAACGCGGACTCTCTTCAGAGAATATTAAGATGTCTTAAGATATCTTAAAAATATCTTTGAGATGTTTTGAATATATCTCTGAGATGCTTTTAAACTTTAAACATGCTTTAAAAACATCTCTTTGGATGGATTTTAGTTGACAGAAAGTGGAAAAAATCCGTACAGCACAAACTCTGCTTGTTTCAAGGGTCTCTGAGATATAGTTACGGCTTGTGCTGCTTGGAAGGATAGTTACTAGAAGTATAGCTCGGCCGAGCTTGAGTAGCTGACGTTCTCTGCTATGAGCACACTGTTATTCCCCGGGAGTGAGTCAACGCAAAACTCGCCCCATTCTGGTCGACATCTACTCCATGGCAGTTCCTCTTGGAAGCTGGCGACGAGGTAGAACAGCGTCAAGGCCATCAGCGAGCAATAATAGGACGCGAGCCCTAACAGCATGATAAACTGTGCGACTCCGACGCCTGCATCAATCGAACAGCTTATCACCAGGCCGTCGTAAATCCATATCTATTTTATTACGACATCTCGCGCGATCGATAGAGCTATCCCACTTTTTTCTTTCTTGCTTTTTTCGGTTTATTGAAAATTTTCCAGAAGTCGCGTCTCGATACGAAATTCAAGTCGCTCGTTCCAGATTCCCCGTCCTTTTGAATCGAATTAGATGGCACTTACTTGTTGTAAGTGAAAAATTAAGAACAAAAGGAGAGACGTCGATAGAGTTTGCAAAAGTTCGTCAGATCGTCGATGATTTCACCGGCTTAGAAGGTGAGTCATTTCATAGACGCGGAATTGAACGTCCGATTGTGTTTGACAGATTGTTGACAGCGATGACGAGTATTTTGATTTAACATGAACGCTGTATTGTTTTATTACTAACTTCAATAGATTTTTGAGTCTTCCGAATTTAATAAAACTAGAACACCACATAGCGCGCGCGCCACTTTAGCCTCTTCGTTGTACTATTTATAATTTATATTACAATACTCGTTTTTACAAATTATATTCCCAGCAAATACAATGTTACATATAACATACATGTTAGTTGTAATTTTCTATTCAATAATGTAACTGTTATATAACACATATATTATATAACAGTTATATTGTTTGTTGAGTAAGAAATTACAACTAACATGTATGTTACATGTAACATTATGTTTACTGGGATTACAATAAATATCAAATTTATATGACGCGAACAACACAACCTGATCTGTCACAGCGGCTAACAGCTGCAAGCGGCACGAATTCAACTGCGACGGGATCGAGACAATCGAGATGGTCGAGACGGCCAATTAGCATCGCGGAAAAGAGGCTTCACCCACTTCGATACATTCGAGATTTAGTTAACACGCACTTTTTCTGATAGGAAACATGTCTGAAGATCCTTTTGCAAGCTCCCAATTAACACGTTGACCGCCACGTCACCCATATATGGGTGACAGCTATGTTTCATATACATACTTAATTTATGTTAGGCAGTCAGCGTGCATGGAACAATTTTGTTGGTGCAACCGAATTTTCGGTTGTTCAGGGATCAGACGAAAACTCGGCTGTAGGAACAGAAAAATTCCTTCATGAGACTTCTGTATAGTCAATTGTTCTCAGTTGCCTCAACCGAGTTCTAATATCATTGAATGTTCAGACGAATATTTTTGGTTGCGACAACAGAAATATTAGTTTTCATAACAGAGATATCGTTTCTGACCACCTAATTTTCAGTTGGTTCCTATTTGGTTGCACCAACTTTTTTTTGCGTGTGTTAATAAAGATCGTGAGAGACGTGCTTTGAGAGTGTCGCACCTCTGAACGCCGGCGCGAGATCCCAGATCTTCACGGCCGAGCGACTGGAGAATTGGCCCAGGATCATCTCCAGCAGATAAAACGGCTTCCCTACGATGAAAAGGATAATGATGTACGGTATCAGGAACGCGCCCCCGCCGTTCTCGTACGCGGTGAACGGGAACCGCCAGACATTGCCGAGGCCGACGGACATGGCGATGCAGGACAGCAGGAACTCCCTGTCGTTGCCCCATTGCTGTCGTTTCGGCTTCGTGGCGGAAAAGCACATGCATCGTTTGAATATCCTCAATTTTCGATTGAACAAAAAATTTCTTCGATAAAAAGAGACCAATCGGAAGAATTACGTTCGTAATAGCTGTCTGATATTTCCTCGAAGAAATTTTTCTTGTTATCGGTAGAATTATTTTCGAAAAAAAAGAACATTGATATTAAATTTACGTAATATTTATGTAAATGATGACAACTACCGTTTTAGTTTCTTGAGCGACGGGCTCATTAACGCCGGCATTATGGGAGTTTGTACTCTCGTCCACGACGAAGGCATGATTTATTACGCCGCTAGAAACCGTGTACGACACCTGAAACAGTTGAGCGAACGATATCCAGCACGGTTATGCCTTTTCCCACTCCATTATTAAACAAACATGAAGAGAACACATTACTTATGAATAACGCGCATTAAGAGGATGCTGGAGTCGATGACAGCTTGAGATTTTACATTTAAAATTTGTTTTTCGTTTGCGTCACATGTTGAACAATGCTTCTATTTATTTTTGCACGTAAAAGCACTTGTAATTCTGTACAACTAATACGACGTAAACTTTGCAAACAAATGTCAGTATTCTGTCGATAAAATGTTCAGCTTCAGCGTTCCCTTGATAAGCAACGCGTTAAGTTAAAACATCCTTTTCAACGCATTATCGATTACATCACATTGTTAAAAAACGCATGTATGTGTGTAACTCATGCAATTGCAGACGCGATTTTCAGAATCCGTTCATAAGTTGTTAATATCATAAAGCCCGTGTCATACTACGGATTGGAGATAGAGGATTGCTGATTGGAACTTAATCAATTGGGACAAAGCAGGCCAAGATTGAAGTTTATTGTTTCGTTGAAATTTAATCTTCAATGTACAATCCTCCATCTTTAATCCGTAGTGCGACACGGGCTTTAGTCATCGCGAGTATTGCGACGGAAATGAACATTTGGTCGTTACGGCGCTTATCTTCTGAACATAAATCCATGAAGTTCGATAAAGTGAGACACATTATTGAGTTGATGCAAGAGTCATATTTTCCAAGTGAAATAATAAACGAAATTATCCCATTTTGAAGGACTTATAATTTCTGCAAGTAGAAGTATAGAATAAGAGGTAAAAAGATAAAAAAGATAGTAGGATAAGAAATAACTAGGATAAGTGGCGAAAAGGAAAAGAAGAAGTGGGTGTAGGAAAAATGTAAAATAAGATTAAGATAAAACTAAGAACTTCCTGGTATTGTAAGCTGAAGTAAAATAAAGAGGATACAAGAGGGGACAATTTCTGCGAATAGAATGTACAACGTCGACTATTAATAGAACTTTAATAGAACTTTAATAGAACTTTAATAGAATTTTGTACAGCAACCTAATATATGTTTCTTAATTCGTTCATCATCATCGCAATAAATACACAAAACATGTGTTCCGTACAGCTTTATCTTCTTCTCGCTATATTTACGTACCTTTCGTCCCATTGTGTTCCACCTGATGTGACTCCTGCCTTAATCGCTCGACATTCGCATCACCTGCGCCTTACCTAAGCCACGGCAGTATATTAGAGGTTTCCAATCAAAGCACACACACTAGCTCCTCCCCCGCTATGGGTGTGTCGCGGCGATATGAGATCGAGGGCAATGAATGCAAATTTATTCCAGGAATTTGGATGTGTTCGTCCAATTAACTCGACAGAATTCACGCGCGTGCGGATGAATACGGTCGCGGGCACACGAACATCGCTAAAATGTGTTTCCACATCAGGAAACCCGCGGAAACTGCAGTCAGATCGACTGCTTAGTGTTCTTTGACGGAAAACTGATCGCTCATATGAGGAAAATCTCAACGCAGAAAGACGAATGTCGCTATAATTCAGATTCAAAGAGAAGGGGCAGAATTAACGTAAGTGCGGAAAAAATCCGCGTCAGAGCCGGCTATCAACTGCGAAAATGTCAAACGTTTCGGTGCCGCGTCCCGCGACGGGACGAGGGGCGCTTAATTACAAGAGGTCTTTGGCGGCTCGTATCTTACCGTAAATTGGCTGAAACCGCTGGCACCGTAATTTGTTAAACTACGCACATTACTTTGCGCCACATGTCTACCGTACAGACACCGATGACGTGATCCCGTGGCGATTTATTCGTCGCACGGGCCAAATTGCAAAATCGTACTACAGCTGTTAAAATATCGCAATCATTAGTCGCCTGACACGATATTATCATAATTTCGTCAGCAAGAACGCCTTGTACCGGTTATCATTCGCCGAAAGACTTCGCGATTGTGCGTGCTGATTCAATTAATGATGATGAACGGGAAGATGAAAAGATAATTCGCGTAAGCTAATTACACACAGCATCGCGCATAGCGTGTGAGATATGAGTGACAGGCGATTTGCAAACTAACGACCAATGTTTTTTATTTTCTGCAAATATGTACGTACTATGACGGCCGATATTACGCCAACAACAGGTCTGTCGAGAGTCGTGAGAAGAGAAAGACTGACATTGTATATCTCGTATATAACTATATTAACGGAGGAACGGCAGGATTACGCGAAATAGCCGTGTGCTCTGTCAATAAGATAACGCGTATTGAGGTGTATCTTGAACAATAATTTTAGCGCGTGTAAGACGGAGAAAACTACCGAATCATGAAGCCATCGCGCAAAAAACAAAAAAGAAAGAAGGAATAGCCTGATGCTACGAGCGAATGCTGCGGATAATTTGAAACTAAGATTTTTTATACATTTACGAATTGACTTGAAATGTTGATTCGACGTAATATTCACGGCAAGAACGTCCGTTTGAAGTCATCAGCGAGAGAAGAGTTCCAGATCCCCCTCAAGTCCTTATTTCGCAAAATTTCTGTAATTGCTGTTTGAAGTGTATACTTTAAACTGCGGGAAGAAATGGCGCTTAGAAGCGAATGGTGGCGTCAACTCGTGGCAGAAGATCAAATTCATAAGTGATCTGTAAGGTAAGTTACCGACCGTGCAGGTCGGTAAGAAAGGCGGCATCATGTCCGACGATGCGGCCAATTAGCGCAACATGCGCTAATTTCAAATGTTGCTGCACAGTAAGTGTCATGTTCGTTTCTGTTGTAAACGAACCAGTTGAACTGTGGTTGTCGACAGCATCACATTGATCGCTGATTTTTATCCTTCTACTAAATCATGACTAGGTGAGTCGATTTAGAAATATTGTATGATATAGGATTGTTTGCCTCGTAAATATTCGTAAACATCGTAACATGTTTCGTTTACAGTGCAAAGGCAAGACCCGTACCTACCACAAAGGTGACAAACCCAGACGACGATCAGGAGATCGTAAATATGATACATTCCTTGATGCAACGTGTACAGAGGAGGGATCTACTGCGAGAAGATTTGTATCAGAAACGTATGAATGATTCTCTAGTTTTCTTAAAGAGTAATTTTATTGAGTAATTTTAAGGTCAATGTAAAATTTCTTTTCAGAGAATAATTTTAGAAAAATATTAGTGGAAGTAGAACGTGAAAATACGTCTCTAAAGATTGAGAATATTTCATTAAGAAATTGTAATGATCAGCAGAAAAACGTAGTAAGAATATCTGTCTCTGTTAGGTATGTTTGTGTTTTCTTAATACATAAGAGTTGGTTCTATAAATTTCTCAGATTTCTTCATTGGAGAAGCGTGTTTGTAAGTTGGACAGACAAATTGACAGCTTGTTGTATAAGTTAAATAATGCAAATGACGTTTTGAGGAATATGCAACAGGAGGTAAACTAAATGTTGCCATATAATTTTGTAGATAGTTACTTCTTTATATTAATATAACTGACATGTAGACTAATGAAAAACATCTATAGAATCAATTTCTATGCTCAGGTGAGAAACAGAGACAAGCAGCTAAAACAATATGCAATAGACAAGCAAAAGATAATAAAGAAATGTAATAACAAGATACAAGCTGAAGCTGATAGAATGACTACAGAATTGGAGACAAAGCTGCATAACCAACGTAAAGAATTGCAGGTAAACTTTAGCTCGTAATTACAAACTTTTTACATTCAGATATGTATTTTTAAAAGATACGCAACGTTATACTTATTCAAACATTGAAATATAACAAAATATTTTTAGAAACAGTTTAAAAAAAAGGATGAAAAGTTAAAGATGATGAAGAAGATACTGATAAGTAGTGACAATACGTCCGATAATACTGCAGTAACGGCACAGTCAGATTCGAGTCTGAAAACGGAAACGCCAGAGGTACCTGTCTCAACTACATCTGCCAAAAAGTCTTCCACGGCGGTACCTATCGATTCTGAAGCTCCATCAACATCCACAATTGTGTCGACTGATGCCACAGCAAAATCGGATTCTGAAACGACAAAAAGCGAGAACGATCCGATTGAACCATATAAGCCGAATAGAAGAGTAAACTTTCTTCCATAAATCTATATAATAATACTTGTTTTCCGTCAAAACTTATGTACTGATTGTATAGGGTGCTTCAATGTTAATATATAGAAGCAACTTTTTCTTCATATGAATGCTAACATTTTTTAAGCAGTTTTCTTTTTTAAGTAATAACTTAGTTAAATGAATACCATAAGTAATTTTTTCTCTGTATAAGTGTTAGTATATTTTTTAAGCATTCTGTATAATGCATATGCAGGATAAAGTCCCAGTGGTGAATCTGAGATATCTACGATTGCAAAACGCGAACAAGTGGATAGACCATCGTCCTACCCAGACGGTACCCGTCGGTACGATCTTCCAGCCGCAAACACCGAGCAAATCCAGCGTCGTAAAACTGACCGACCCGAAGCCCTTCATGACCAAATCCACTAGATACTGTTTATACGCGCAAGAGCAAGATACGGACGGTGAGCTCGAGACCAAGCTGTACAAGGTGAGTCTTACCGAATTCGGGCGTTATTCGTCAAGATACAACATATCCGTACCTTGATAAGAAAAAAGGCCACGGTCTAGTTTCGTTTAGCTTTCCAGTTTAGAGTTATCTTTGAATATTGGCTCTTTTTTTCCTTCAATGTACAGATACAATTGCACGTCTGAACTTTCAGGCGGATGTATTGCCCACAAGCGGAGGAGGAGCGCAGGTTGTGTTTAATGATATAGAGTGTCTGAAACAGGTCTCTTTGGCTAGACAGAAATAGCATAGTAGACCGGTAAATACAGAAAATAGTTCGGTGCATTCATAAATACCTCATCTTCGTGCACAAAGAGTTCCGTTAACGCTCTTAGTAAAATCTGGACGAAAAACGAGACGTTTGCAGAATTGATATTGCTCGTTGTCGTTTAACAGGGAGAATGTTGAAACGGAAATGATATTACTCAAGTCTCTCATTTCCTCATATCGATGCCGTGGAATCCGTAACAGTCGATGCCATTTCGAAGCTCGGAGATACAGAAGGCTGGATGTTCCGTGTTAGAAACGTAACGTTTATTTCCCTATTTGCTCTCAAGTCGTAGAACAACATTCGGCGTTTCGATCCCAAAGTATCCATATATCGTAATGCGAGCTGGAAGACGGATTCTCTCTCTGCAGGAAGATCGTTCCCGTGCAGTGAGACGTTCGACTAAGAGTAACACCACGAGCGCTATCTTACACAATAAAGCTGCAAGAACAACTCCGCATACCGATGAATCTCAGTTTATTTTTCATGCGAACAAAGACCTTATCGTTGCCACACACGAGGACGCGTGCTAACGGATGGATGCGACTTTTATTATTATTATTTTTTTGTCATTAGATAGAGCTGACACGCTTTTTGAAATCGTTTCCGCTCGAACTAGTCACCGTGTTATTATCTTACATACTGACTGACGATCACGCATAAAAGATTGTACTCCCCGAAACACAAAGTGTCCTGCAACAAATGTCGGTAATGTACATACACACGCACACACATACAAAACATTTCCCTCCTCCTTTCATCTATCACACCCGTTAATCTCAGCGCGCAGAAATCAAGTGTTAAATACATACATATACATATATATTTGCATATATGTGTATATGTATATATGTATATATAAAATTATATACCAAGTATCAAGACTAGATGAATATATATATTAATCATTAGAATAATTAGTCATTATATTATGTTCGGCTCTGACAAATTATAAAAATGTATTATTAGATTATTTAAAGATATTGTCTTATATATACGCAACGCTGCATCCTCACTCTGTCTCCATACGGTACAAATCACCCGACATCCGTGTCGTTGGAAACTCTCTCTCTTGCCAACTCATTTCGTGCTAAATCATGGATGTGTTCAGTGATAACGTGAAATTAAGCTAAAGACGCGAGATATGCCTTCACGCGACAAATCTTCGGTAAACAATATCTACATATGTATTATTGTGCAAGAGGAGATTTGCAGTGCTCGTATCTTTTTTTTGGTTTTCTGAAGAACGGTATATATGTCTTTTTTCCGAGTATCCCTTTTGTGTTTTGAGAAAGAAGAGGTCGCGATTATCGTAGCGAGAATAACCGATTGAATAACGCCCGTATGCGGACGTGTAACGAGTATCAAAGAGATATGTATCGTATCTAATGTCATTCACAGAGATTCCGAGCTTCGTTCACCTACGTTATTTTTGCCCCTATCGCGGAGTGTAACCGAACTGTTGTTCGCAAAGCGTCACATTGATTCGTAGTAATCGGAATACGTTATATATAACTGAATCAGACCAGACGTCTCTACAGAGTGTAACATTTATTCGTGGTTTTTGTATATGCATTACATACACTTACGCGCCTGTGGGTGTATTTATGCGTATGTTTATACGTGTATACGTGTATAGGTGTATACGTAACACTATAATGTTACGTGTGTGTGTGTGTGTAACAGTGTAACGTGTACACTTTTGACGTACGAAGTATATCACCTTCGTGATCGTATCGATTAGTTTGAGATATTCGTAGCTTTTTCGAGATTACATTTCGCGACGAACGATTAAAACAGTCCTACGCTCAACAAGCGCCACATTTATCTCGCGACGATTAAGATCCCGTGTGCGGCACGTGACGCGCTCGATTGAGATTTATTGCAACGGTAACATCGAGTTAAATATCTGTTTTTTTTTTTCGTAATCTATAGTACGCATTTGACTCTTGCTCGTCGATCTGCCGAATAACGGTCGCTGTGTAGTCGACATACTTTCGCGAAATATCAACGGCTACTGATATATCAGTAAAGAGAGAGAGAAAAGCATTGTGCGGTTTAGAATTCTATCGTAGTTCGCAGATAGAGTATAGTCTCTACTACCGAATTCGCGCGTAGTATAATGGAACTGATCGTTGCACCCGTTCTTCGGAAATATGTGCATGTGTGCCAAGCGTAAAAACAAAACAGGGGACAGAGAAAAGAGGAGGCGTTTGTCATCGCGTTTATAGAGATTCTCACACAGCCGCGATATCATGTATACGTGTGTATCGCATGTACAGTCGAACGTTCGATTTCGAGGAGGTCGCAGGAGAAACTTGGAGGTTTCACACCTGAGAGAGACCGATCACACACGCGACGTGTGATCGCTGCCTTGCGCGGCGCACATACGACGATCGAGACTGTGCGAGAGGCAACGTGAATTAGTCGATTAATAATATCGAGAATGACAATCTCGCGTCGCTCGTGCAGAATACAATGAACCTCGATAAAAAATATCGGCGAAGAGTCGCGCGCACTGTCAAGACAAAAAGATACGCGTGAAACAAGCAACTTCGGTATCGACTTCTATTCGATCGCGTGTCGATGAAAGCGTTATTTAAGAAGAATACCAGTGCCAGCGTCAGACAGTGCCGAAATTTACCGAACCCGGAGACCGCGAGACGATCCTATACATCTCCACAGACTCTGCAAGTTGCGGTTTTCTTTTTTTTTTCCGTTTTCTATGTGTTTTCAACCCGCGATTTCACTCCGACAATACACACACAAGCGGTAATATCGTCGCAAAATTTCCTCGGCTCTCTCGCACAGGGTGTTCGACACCCGTTTATTCTATAGCTTTGCTCATGAACTCTATGAACCGTTTGCCATATTGTTCTGGATCACAGGTGGATATACCGTCGACGTTAGCACCGTACTTCACTGTCTTGGCCGCTTTCGCTGCTTGCTTGCGCACACCGTAATGTGTCAGCACGTCTATTATGGCCAGGAAGTAGATCTCCTTCGTGGGAGCACCTGCGGAAACACGCGACACGGGTGAGCATTCTTTAAGTCTACATGTAGCAAGAGAAATATGTTTTGCGCTGTTACAGAATAGATTTCAGGAGCTTTCCTGGACGTAAAGCGAACGCTGAATTTTTTTCTTATGCCAAGTTTCGTTTCCTTCTTTTAAACATGCAAATATTGCATGTAACGTTGTTACAACTTGAGCATCAGAAGGGCATGCTTAGTGTTTGCTGTACAACCAAAAGTATTCGAGGAAAGTACCTTCTTTACTAGGAATAGCGTAAATATCTAGTTCAGGTATAATCGCATCCTCGTATTGTAAACTGGTGTCGCGCATCAACGCAGCATGCGGCGACTCGGGAGGCGTTGCCATGCTGGCGATTGCACCGACGCCACCCCAACCCCACAGGCGGCTAGGCAAACGAGACATTGACGAGTGAGAATCACGACGTGGTCGTGGAGCCTTCGTCCCACAGAGACGAGAAAGAGAGACAGTGTCCACTTACTCTCCCGTCGGGCCTCGAGACTCCAGTCCGCTGCCGGACTCACTGTCATCCTCCTCGTCGTGATTATCCTCGTCCTCCTCCCTTTCAGCGCGCTCTCTGCTCTCTTGTTCAGCGCGCGCACAATCGTGCAGACCAAGCAGCAACGAATAGTCCATCAGGTGTAGTCTTGTCAGGAACTGTAAGAGCGGACGAATGATCTCGTGTATCTCCTATAGACTGTGTCGGACTTTATCGATAGAAAGGAAGCGCAACGGACTCCTGGAGTTAAACATATTTTAAGCCAGTAAGAGTCGAGCTCAGATGTTGGAGCTTATATTTTTGCTGAGAGAAAAATAATGTTTGACAATGTTAACGCATATGACTGATAGTCATTTTCCAGTCTTATTATCCTCCCAGCAAAAATACTCGCTCCAAGATCTGAACACGGCGCTTACTGACTTAAAATATGTTCAATTTGAGTTGTATACTTCGAAGAGCCTTTGATATAGAATTGTTTGACTCCTGGAGGCTGGTCGAAGATCGTATGAACTTACTTACTTCTACGTCGGCGGTTAGGGTTTCTATTAGCTTAGCTTTGGCCTCTTCCCCGATGTAGATCTTCATGCCTTCCTTGACGAAATCATTATCTTTGTAAGTAGGAAGATCTTTCTCCCTCTCCTTGTCCGACGCCTCTCGGTCTACCGTCGAGCCTTTCAGATCGAATTTCTTGTGTGTAGTTAAGTGATTCGAGAAGACGTTCCTTATCGCGACTACGTAATGCTCGACACCGTCGACGGTCAGTCGATACATTCCCAGATACTGCGGTAACAGTGTTTTCCCGTGTCGCTCGACGATGTACTGGAAATTAATCGTAATGTAACTTGTGAAAATTGACGATATCAATTTTCTCTTTCTTCTCCTCGATCGCTCTATACTTACTGGATGATAATGTTTCAAGAACGAATGCATTCTCTCGACTTCCTCGCTCGTGAGAGTTTTAATAATGAATAACTTGTCGTAGGATTGATAGAACTTCGCGCCGCTTTTCCCGGATGAATCGTCGAGCACTGGCTGCGATCTGGAAGAAGAAGCAAGAGCTGCGGAAACTACGTCGGCGCGTACATGCGGCAGCGAGGAGAGAGTCAAACGATGCTTCAATTTGAATGAAATACGCCGGGCCGCAGGACTATATGGCAGAGTATGGTTGGTAAACACAAATGACGAATTCGCCCTGTCGGTGTGGAATTATTAAGTAACAAGGTGGGTGGTTCTGATATTAGCCGAAGAAATATATCTGAAGAAGCGTGGGTGAAGTAATTCGATCGATATCACAAGAGTTACATAAAGGATCGATTGCACTCTCTAACGCAAGAATATTAGTCGACGATTGTACGAGTCGTTAGAGTCAGCGTGTGTATTATTATTATTGATCTCATCGTCCTGATTATCTCAATTATTAATTATCCAAATGACTGATCATGATCATTATTGCTGGTTGTCGTTGTCGATAAAGCGATTTGTTAGTTATCTCCAGCTATCCTCCTAAGCTAAACACCTCCGTGATGACAATTGAAAACAATCTCGCGCCATGCTTTAATCGGGGAAAAGCTCTCAGAGCGGCAGTTCGCCACTTGTGTCAAGTGTCTCGAGCTGCCGTTTTGCGAGTGGTGACTGCGAATAGTCGTTAAATATTATATTGCTTTAGTCACGCCGATCCTTATTCCCTCGGCTTTGTAGTAGGCTCGCTCGACTTCAACCGGTGTTAGGGGAAAAGAAAGAGAGAGAGAGAGAGAGAGAGAGAAAGAGAAAACATATGACACAGCACAGCACGGCAAAATCAAGTTTTGTTGTCTCTAACCTCAGGCGTTTCGGTTTAAAACCGTAGGTACGTAGCGGTTTGTTTAGAATCGAAATTTGCGAGGAGACAGAAGGAGAGGAAAGGATGATCGACGGAGTGGTAGCGGAGCGCTGAACCAACTGACGAGTCCTTCCGCAGACGGAAACCAAATCCGAGCGTTGCTTCGCTCGCGACGGATTAAACGCCCGACATCTATCACATCAAAATCCTCACGTTACAAATGGTGGCAACCACGACGGGACACACACTTTCCGCTCGTCTCCCTGACAGTTAACAAGATAACGAACGTGCCGGCCGTGAAAACCGAGCGACGAAAATTCGATCTGATTATCTACGAAAAGCGGCGGCGTCGTCAAACATGTGTTTATATTATATACTCTATGTACAAGTGCTAAGATAATCCTTGCAGTGCGGTTTACGCTGATCGTGTTACCTCGTCATCGATTCCTTGTAATCCAGATCGTCTATACCGAACCTCTCTCGCAAGTTCCTAAAGACTAACGGGCAATATTCTTTGATCTTGAAGTGGGATGGCATGTTCTCCCTGTAAAGGAAAGACGGCGCGTTACATTGTATATTACGGCGGCATATTAATAGCCCTTGCCCTATGAAAAAATACACGCAAGGGTGGATATAGTCGTGCGCGAAGCGAAAAACCAAAGATATATTGCGTCTTCGCTTTATTACCATCAACGAATCTAAAATTAAGGAGCTCTTGCCAATTTATCGGCTTGTCGCTGCGGGCACTATATATAGAGTATAGACAATATATCGCTTATAAATATATTTGTGAGATTGTCTTGTCACACTTGGGTACTTGGGTTCCTCGAGTATATTTAGAAAATCCGGGCGTTATATACACAGTCTGACAATATATAAAACTCTCGTGTAGATTAGGTCAAACTGAACCAAAAAGTCCTCTGCCATTTTACGAATAGCCACGTGGATTTTTGAGTTATTAATTGAAGAAGTTTAATGGACGACCGTTCATTATGATTCATCAGTCTTCTTTAATTAATAACTGAAAAATCTAAGTGGTTATTCGTAAAATGGTAGACTTTTCCGGTCAGTTTGACCTCATTGTACGGTGAGTTGCAGCACAAGACGCAAGTGAAGTTGGGAGCTCACCAAACTGTCAAAATTGGCAAAATACCGCTCACGATATATGCAAAGAAATAAATGGCATTCGCATTGTTGTGCGCGCGAAACGCGCGCGACAATGCAGCGAGAGAACTTACTTGTTGAAGAGATGGTTGTCCACCTTTAACTTGCTGTAAGCTCTAAAATCATCCGGCAAGAGCATTACTGGAATGTTAACGTGACTAAGTTCGTTTATCTGCAATGCAGCAAACACAGATAATCATAAATTTATCTCGCTCTGTGCGGGATTAAGCTTAATTAATTGAGTTCAGAGGTCGAGTCTCGATAAAACGATCTGTCATTGAAAGCGAAGGTAGGAAACGTGGTAGGGAAACAGCACGGATTGATAATTCCGAAACGTCATGTATAACCGCGCGTTACATGTATATATACACACATACATACATATATATATATGCGTTGTGTGTACATATGCATATACACACAACGATATCGTGCAGTATAAATCGGAAGAGATGCGGACTCAATAATAATTATGAGTCATTGCGATCGACACGGAGAGAGAGAGAGAACGGGTCTCTGATTTGCGCGTCGCCCGGGGGGAAAATCGCGACGCAGGCAGTGTGCGCGCACGCCATCGTGGCGAGAAACAAATAATCTCGCGGGGAAATGGAAAATGGCATGACGATGACGTACGATTTTCCGTACGCTCTCGTCCATGCAAATTGACGGGCGAGCGCGCGCTCGCGCTCCAGTCAAACGTTCGCGGCGGACGATGATGAAAGAATGAGATAGAGAGAGAGAGAAAAGAGAAAACGAAAGACAGCTTACACTCACCGTGTGATTAACACCCCACATAAACACGCTGAGCAGCGGCTCGTTCGCGCGGAACAGCTTAACCTTCTGATGCTTCACCCGAAAGTGTTTCTTTTTCAGCTTGCTGAGCCCGCTGCTCGACATATGCGGCAGGCTCGACATCCTTGCTGCGGCGAGCGCGGGACGGCTCGCTACACCGCGACGGGAACTGGTGGGACCGCGAGAGTCACCGTCGCAGATGCCTCGACGACGACTCCTTCGCTCTCGATTCGACAAACTCTCACCCCGCCGACACTCGTCCTGGACACTGGCCGAACTGGACACTGGCGCACGAAGGACGATCCTCTCCTGCACTTGTGCGAGTTTACCTTCACATCGTACACCGTCGCGTGCGGACTGCTCGTACTCCGACTCGTCGAGAAATCGCTCTCGTTCCTACCTTCCCTTATCAGCCGACGGGCCGGACACGGAACACGCCCATGAACCGCGAACGGATCCTCGTCGACGCGACGCGACGCGACGCGCCACACACACACAAACGCACACGCGGCCACACGTACGACTCGCCGACGATCAGCACGACGTAGCCACTGAATTCACGACGAACGACCACCGTCACTCGGGATCACTTCACGTTACCTCGCCGCGCACTTTACTGCTCGCCCCCTCGCGCTCCACGTCCCTCGTCAGTGGAGAACGACGTAGTCGCTGCGATCGCGCGCGCGGCGGCGGCGGCGGCGGACGGCTGATCGAGCTCCTTTTAAAAATGGCGAACGCCGCGGCTCCTTGGAACAGGGAATGTCGTGGCTGAGACCAGGTCCTGAAGCGTTGTCGGGAAGCGACGCGGACTGACGTTCCAGCGTTGGTCAAATCGTTGACTGCTTCCGGCAAAATACACGAATTTCCGTGGCGAACGCGACCGTATTCGCGCCGTTTCGAGGTTATCTGACGTTAGCCGCCATTGAATCGCGCCGCGTGAGCGATTGGCAGAATTGATGAGAATCCGAGCGATCGATTTGTAGTGATTTCGACGTGACGGTCGACGTTCAGATTCGTGGCGTTCTCGTGTGTACGAAAAGAAACCTATATTACTATTTTGTCCGACAGCAATTTCTCACATACTTCCTCGATTCCAGACGAAGAAGTTACGAGACGATCACGAAGGCGCTCGAGAGATCTGGAAATTGAAGCGAACAAATCCCTAGATTTCTAGAGTGCGCGATCGGGTGTGATTTTCATGAATCTTATCGCCAGTGACTTTCAGCATGATTGGCACTTCTCACGATCTTGTTCTGTACTTTGTACACTTCGTGTCTTCGCTCTTTCCCTCTTTCCAAGATTTGAATATATGCACTCACTTGGTTCCTTATCACGGCTCTCTTTTCTTCTTTCTCTCTATCATTATCTCTTTTCCTCGAACGTAAATACGTGTGTTGCTCTTTATATATAGTCATTTGGATATGAAAAGTGCAGATAAGCGGCATAATCGTCATCGTATGAGGACGAGCTTAACACGCGTGGAGAAGGATTCATTACAAAACAAGACCCGCGCGTGCAGCATCTAAAGATGGAAGCGATCGCGACGGCTAATCCGCATCCGAAAAAAATGCACAATAATTACGAGGATGAGGAAGAGCGGAAGCACTTCCAGAGGATCGTCGCCGCGTTCAAGTACTACAAGTGAGTATACGTCAGACGATAAGGAATTAATCCGTCGGTGTCGATCAATCCTCTTATCTTTCGTTGGTTCGTACAGTTGGTTCTTTTATTCTTAATTACCAGCGATGATCGACTTAATTGAATGTGTAAATTGTTCATCGGGAGTACCGACAGTCCTGTGGAAAGAACTCTCAAGTTTAGCATAACATTACTGATTATTTGTTTACTTGTTTTTCCCTTTTTTCTTAAGGACTTGACCTGCGAATTATAAACATTTGTAGAGGATTATTTTTCGTATGTTTTATCTGCCTTTCCCCTTCTTGTTTCTGCACAGAACACACTCGTTGTCAAGAGTAAAAAAATCGGAATCCTATCTTCTCACTCTGCCAACACATCATCAGAAACTTTTGTCAAAGTACAGAGAACATCTGCAAGAGGTGAAACGCTGTATTGAGAACAATGATAACATTATAAAGCTTATAATAAAAGATGTAACTCATATATTCGAAAATGTACATCCAGCAACTGCGCAGGCTGACAGTGTAAGAATATTTACATATATATCTCCATAGTATACATGTAGCATTGTATTATCTATTTACTCTGATATCTTACTGCAGACATTAAATCCACGTCCTGTAATGGTGGACCAGGAGAAGGTCCAAGCTACTATTAAACAATTGGTACGCGATTGGAGTGTGGAAGGTACCGAAGAACGGGCAGCATGCTATCAACCTATCATAGAGGAAATATTGTGTCAATTTCCATTAGACCAATGGTATGATAACCTGTTATTGCATCAGCACTTACTGTTAATATATTAAGAGAGAACAGAAAAAATAACGGGGGAAACTTATGCAGCTTAGTAATTTTAAACAGCAAATTTTATCATTGATACATTTTTTAAAGAACAAAAGAGCTATAATTTCACTGATAGTTTACTAAGAGAAAGTGTCCAAACCTGTAAAAAAAGTTGCAGCTACAAGATCCTCAAAGTACTCCAGAAGTTTCCCTTGCAAAAGTTACGTTAAAACGTAGTTGAGAAGAATACCGAATGATAAGTAAATTTCCAGTACACCGTCGAATGTACACATCTTAGTGCCTGGTGCTGGATTAGGCCGACTTGCCTTCGAGATAGCGAGGCGTGGTTATACGTGTCAAGGAAACGAATTTTCGTTATTCATGCTTTTTGCATCGAACTTCGTACTGAACAAGTGAGTAATGGCGAAAAAGCAGTCTTAGCTGTCAGTGATTGTGAAATTGTCATAATTTTTGCCTCTGACGTAGATGCAGGGACGTGAACTTGTATCAAGTACATCCATGGGTGCACCAATATATGAACAATCTGAAACCAGAGCATCAAACACAGGCGGTTTCCTTCCCCGACGTGTGCCCGAGCGATCTTCCAGGAACTGCACAATTTTCTATGACCGCGGGTGACTTTTTAGAGGTAGTGTGAGATTTCTGTGAACATTGGCAATATACTTTGTGCGACGATAATATCGAAAAAATCTCTTTCAGGTTTACACAGAGGACAATCATTGGGACTGTGTAGCAACATGCTTTTTCATAGACTGTGCCAATAATGTTGTACAATTTATTGAAACAATTCATAAAATTTTGAAGCCGGGTGGAGTATGGGTAAATCTCGGACCGTTGCTCTATCATTTCAGCGATTTACCAAATGAGGAATCCATTGAACCTAGTTACGACGCCATTCGCGAAGTTATCGTAGGCTTCGGCTTCCGATTAGAGGTAACAGTCTGATGTTCTCTAAAAGAAAATGTTCTTTTCTCATCGATATGTGTTCTCTAAAAGAAAACGTTCTTTCCTCACCGATATATCGTGTTATATCTTTCAGAAGGAAGAGACGCAAGTGAAGACGCGTTACGCCCAGAACGTCAACAGCATGTTACAATGCGAATACAACAGCGTCTATTTTGTCTGTCGTAAACTCCACCAACATGTAGATAATGTAAATCATAATCATAGGAATTGCTCCAACAGCAACGGCGCGCAAGAACAAGAGAATTAAATGAAAGGCCGTATATATTTTACTCACGAGAGGAAAGTGTTGAATAAACTAAAAAAGTTGTTATATATTTAAGTACACTTAACTTTTCCTATCGAATACTATTATTTAGTACTATTATTTAGTAAGTGCTGTCGTGTAAAATTGGCGATTATGCATAATACGTAAGACATTTTTACATCCTTACCTTTGCGATATCTCAATTTGTTTGAGCCTAAGATTTATTTCGTACGTGCCAGTAACTCGATGCTGTTACAAAATACTTTATGTATGGGATCTAGTATTGTCAAAAAGACAGAAAACAAGTTTTCTTTTCCTGGAATTGACTGATGCTATATATAGTAAATTATTTTTTGAGGTTAATATGTGAAAACTCGTATCGTAAGTCCAGACAATACCTGATCCGATTAGATGTCCTATTTTCGTTATATCGTGACTTCAGTTGAACATTTATTTCGGCGAAGGTACCAAGAATCTTTATGAGTCGGCAAACGTGTACACGATGACAGGCGACTTTATATATAATATATATATACATATATATATATATATATATATATATATATATATATATATATATATATATATA